ATAAGTTGACATTTCATATCCACTGGCCAATTCAACCTACTTTTGTTTATAACCAATTTTTGTCTAGAACTAGATGTTATAGGTGGCATTTTTTCTCCAGGTACTCCAGTTTCCTTACACGCTAACATCCCAGCCAACAAGAGTTGACATAACTTGTTTCAAAATTGTTGTACGATAAATAAAGTTTATACTTTAATAGGATTATTGACAGGTATACTACTAGAACTTTTTATTTACCCTGTATGCAGTCGAATAATCTGTTGGTCATGTACACGTAGCTTCAAGTATGAAATTTGTTATTTAGTATGTAACCCTTTTTTCTCTCACCTGATCTACGTTTGCAAAATGATACATGAAGGACACCCATGTAAGATATGATAGTGTAACTCTACCCAACATGGGTGTGTCTGGTATTCTTTTGTTTGGGAACTATAATGTTCTAAATCAGCTGTGCTAGAAAAAAGTGCGTGAACACAAATTGTGTTGAGTTCAAAAAGTTCAGCATCTTGTCAGCTGACATTCTGAATAATGAAATTATTCAAATTTAATAAGTAACATCATTTAATGTGGCCTTCTGATCAATGGAAGAACATCTTGCAGCAAAAACCAAGCCAGAAATTGACATTGTCTTAAAAACAATAAACGATCAAAAAAGAAATTTGCTGGGAAGTTTTTGCATACTGCTGAAATTGTAAGTATATTTGTATACCACTGGAAAACTATAGTAAACTTTTTATTGCTCTTTATTGTATTACATAATTATGTTCTTAGTTAACGTTATTGCTGCATTCACACTGTCAGTGTCAATTTTATCAAAATCCCAGGTAAGAGGTGTTTGAGAAAAATGCAGTCCATGATTATGAAGATATGGGATATGATAGGGAAATTCTACACTTTACCATTTGGTGAAGAATTCACGAGGTAACATTGTTATATTTATCCCCCTACCTACATGGGAAACACTATTAAACTTGTTTATGTAAATTTAGACAACTATAATATACTTATATATTATTTATGCTCCCTTTATAATAATGATGGTGCTGACAAATTACCATGGCATGGGCTTGTCGTGGCAACTTTGGCAAAAAACTCGAAAGAATCACATACATACTTTTTGATAGGGCAAATTGGTAGTCCTTATGTGACATTTTCATACACTATTACACCTGGTACTTCAAGCTCCTAATGATAATACAGTACTGAGTTTTGTAGATTTAGCTAGGAGTAGGTAAACATTACATTTTATTCACATCAAGCTTACTGTATACCCCAAAACTTTCGCCCAGTCCAATTTTCGGGCTGAAACACTGGTATAATCCATTTCTCTCCGTGTTAATTTCGCCCTTAACGTGTTATTACTATGTAAACTATGTTGCATACTTATTGTCAATGCCATGGTAAGTTTGCGCTCATTACAGCTGGCGAAAAAGGTGAACGTTGAACTGCGGCGAGCATTTCCTGATATATACATTATATTGGAAGACTCTTTTAGTTGTGGGATTTTTTTTATGTTTTCAGTCATAACATAAAGATTAAAACAGATTTCAAAAACATTTTCTGTCCCATTTTAAACATTTTTTTGTGTCACTATATGGTAAAATTGTATCTAAGTTATTGACATCAACAACGCTAAAGACAGATCTAGACCAGACCTACTGTACTGAAAATGAACAGCAACTGTTAACTGCAGAACTAGAGATCATCACTAAATTGTACTTTATAACTACATGTATACTCACAAGCAATATAGCTACCACTGCATGGCAGTACCATCACATGGCATTTATATAGACTTTAAATGCCGTGCCCCACATGTTGACATCATCATTATCATGACATAAATATGGCCGACTCTCCGGACCCATGGAAGGTGGCTGTTCTATTCATTGAACAAGCACACACGATACATATACTTACACAAAATTCTAATAAACATAACTCATAGCTGTCAACCGTCCCTCATTAGAACTCCCTCCCTCATTTTGACAAAAATTTACCGATCTCCCTCGAAACTCCCTCATTCAAGTCCAAACTCACACCTACTCAAAATCCACATCCTGTAGGCAAATGATCTCCTAGTTACTGCATGATGTGTGGAATGGTCATAACATTATCATTTGTGTCTGATGAACACTTTTTGGAGTATTTTGATACATAAAACGAAAAGATAAATTGAGCAAAGTAGTTTCATTCGCATTTCATGCACTTTCTCTCTCATTGGAAATGCAGAATGAGGGAGATCTCCCTCATTGGAGGTTTCCGAGGTCGACACCTATGCCATATCATAATTTCTAAGATATTAAAATACTCCTATAATGTTAAATGTAAGCATGGAAGTGTTTTGATATGGCATTTATAGTCTACATATACTGCATATATCATATCCACACAGCTCAATACTCAGATAACACCAAACTATACACATATATTCCCAATCAACGAAGCAAGGTCCGTATTACACAACACAACTGTCTGATATTTAATTAAATAATACAAAGTACAATTTTTCTCTTTCATTGTAACTATATACATAACTTATGCAAAATATAGCTATATGCATAGCATAATATAAAATATAGGTATAGGCATATCATACATAAAACTTCACAGAAATGAAGCTATTGCACAGTTTATCTTTGTAGTTGATTCTTTATGCAAAAATTGCTAGACATAAATTTGTGATTAGTCAAACATGGGTATTATAAGTTTATCATTTATGTTGTAAAATTAAATCAAATTAGAGAGAAGCTCTCATGAAGAAGGAACATGCTCTTACTAATATGGATGGCTTTCAAGTTGTGGACAAGTTCCGGTAAGAACTTGACATAAAATATCACATGTATTACAATGGATGTTCCTCTACTGTAATTATTTATAGAACAAGGGAATGTTTCTAGTCAACAAGCAATTCTACATGACAATAGTTAACACTTAATATCTACATGATAAAAGTTCAGACCTCTCCATAAGTGAGATCTAACAGAACCCTTGTTTAGTTTATCATATGAGTTCTATGCAATATAAATCACCATCCGGTCAGACCAGGACTGAGTATTAATGAATGTTGGATTTCAAAACCAGTTTTCATGATGGAATATAAAACATGCAAGAGTAGTAATCTCTACATTTATAAACAGCATATCATGATCACATTGTTCAACCTTAACTTTGATGTCGAAAATTGCCAAGTTCAAACTATTTCTTCAGAGGTCACTAAGTACAAAATAGTCATCAGAGGTCACTAAGTACAAACTATTTCTTCAGAGATCACTAAGTACAAACTATTTCTTCAGAGATCACTAAGTACAAACTATTTCTTCAGAGGTCACCAAGTACAAAATAGTCTTCGGAGGTCACTAAGTACAAACTATTTCTTCAGAGATCACTAAGTACAAAATAGTCTTCAGAGGTCACTAAGTACAAAATATTTCTTCAGAGATCACTAAGTACAAACTATTTCTTCAGAGATCACTAAGTACAAACTATTTCTTCAGAGATCACTAAGTACAAAATATTTCTACAGTCATCACTAAGTACAATCAGAGGTCACTTAACCCTTTCACCCCTAGGTAACTTTAGTAGACTCTACCATACATTGATCTGGATGAGTCTATTATGGTCTACAGTGGTGAAAGGGTTAAGTAAAAGATACAGTAGTTAAGTTTGTAATAAGTGTCACACTGGTACAAAATACTAGCCAGTTTCTATTGGCTATAAGCCAAGAGGGGGATTCTCTTACCATAAGGTCATTAAGTAGAATGTAAGAATTTTAGTGGAGGCATTGAAAAAATGATTACCACCATTGCATTGTTGCCCACGTAGGGACCTGACAAACATACTCGGTGATACTTTCACAAGAATTGCTGTAACACCTGGAAAAACTCGGGACGAGTTCCCTGGAGGGGGAGTATGTCACCCAGGTATGAATACTAGCTGCTTCCTACAGACTCGGCCGGGGGGAATTTCTCTTTGGCTCATTTGGTAGAGAGTAAGACTGGTACATCGGAGGGTCCAGGTTGGACTCCTAGCAGAGGCATTGAAAAAATAATGTTCTCTGATACATAAGTATACTGATCTATATGAGGAACATCATTCGTACAGGTGATACAAGTTTTAAAAGATATGACAATATCCTCTGAGTATTTAATTATGTGTGTTAAGTTTGATCGCGTTTAATAACGTTTTTAAATAGGGAGTAGAAAACAGTGCCTTCATAAAACTTTCTTTTACAAAGAACCATTACATCACAACTGACATAAAATATGTAGCACTTTTCATAACCACGCAAATCACTAACTTCACTGACAATGATACCTGGATATAAGGATTAAAACTTATACAGACAAATTAGCATTGAATTCACACTTACGATACATACCAGACTAATAATAAAGAAGAAAAATAAATTAACATAGGATTAATACAATTGTCAGTCTTTAACCTATCAATTCCATAGCAAAACTCATGTAATTCACAAATAAACTCAGTAATTAGGAATGGAAGTGCTGTTCTATCTCTAGACAAAAAGTCACAGGTACAAGTATTATTTTGTAAACAGCATTCAAATTGTTGGAAAGTAACAAGACAGTTTTACATGACCTCTGACCTCAATACTATTTTCATCAGTTAAAAAAAATATTTCAAAGTTTTCTTGAAGGTATCTAGCATATTACTTCCTATAGACTCTAAAAGCACCAGTTCCTCAAGACATATCAAGCTTAGTTGGTTTCATACTTTTCCATGAACTTCAACATCTACCATTTTATCTGCAACCTCATATGACCTTTGACTTAAATATCTGAGGTCACCAGGTACATTCCATTGCATGGTATTGTGATAACTAGACAAAACCTGTAACCTTTGACCCTACTGAGTTCAAGAGGAGCCAGTTCATGTCTGTGAGTACATCCCATCTAGCTGTATTGATCCGATTAACGGTTACACCAACACGCTTAAGGTCACTAGGTGCAGGTCACTTAGCATGGTTTTTGCTTGAACTTTGACCTTCAGGAGTTCGGACCATTAGTATGGAATCTGATTCTGTATAAACTGAATCCTGTCGTAGGAACTTGCTCTCCAGCTCAGGTAGCACTTCTCAACGACCTTGAGCATGTAATTGGCGGCCTCTGGCTCGGAGGCATTGGGTCTGAACCTTGACCTCAGTTGTTTGATGGTCTGACCTCTGAAGCATGGCAACCCTGTGTCCAGCATCAAAGAAACAAGGGAGACAATCTCTTCCTGGTATGGCCTTCATAAAGAATACAGATGTTTGATAAGGTAGTCATCTTACTTTTCTTTAGAAAACACATGTCATGACGTTAAATACACACAAGTTTTAAATATATCAATATTTACTACATTTGTACTCTGCAACCCTCTAGTAACAATATAAGTTAAGTACATCAATTTTGTTGTATTTCATTTTTGTAAAGTTACGAAAAAGTTGATATCCTGAAACATTAAAGTATGACTGAAATCTCTTCCAAATATTCAACTCCTGTTTTAAGTCTTTTTATCCAAAAGTCACCAATATATCCAATTGTTCAGTCCCACTGCCCTCCTTCATTACCTCTATAACCCCTCCCCTTACCACAACTACCACACCCTCTGGCCACAGAACCCCAGATTCTTTACCTGACAGCCAGGTATCCTTGCACACAAAGCTCCATGAACCACTGGAAGGGTGCGGCCTCCATGGCCCCGCCCATGATTAGCACCATTTCCTCTGTGAGCTTAAAGTCGGGCTCCCAGCCGAGATTACCTCCCGGGGAACTTTCAAACAGGAAGCCAAAATCTGCAAGTGAAAAACGTCTCGTTTTAATACATGAACTGATATTCTTTGTGTACCTTGTGTAACATGTCAATAACATCACTCAATATTTTTCAAACACTATCACTCAATATTTTTTAAACACTAACTCATAAACTACTGAACTCATTAAGGTGAAGGGTACCATTGCATCGGTTATATAACCTTGAAGAAGAGTTCCGATTTGAGTTTTTTCGACTTGCAATATTCTCCATTCTATATAGAAGATGGGGTGGTCGGATGGCGCAGTGGGTAGCACACTCACCTTTCACCTCCCACATTAAGACCCCCTGAGCACCAACATCCAGGCCATGATTAATACAAGTTGAAATAGCTTGTTTCATTATTGTTAAATATGTATAGTTGATATTTTAGAAGATGATGCCACCAAAAATAAGACAGTTTTTCTGGTTAAGAGTAATTTCTTCTGTCAAGTTTGTCATTGACTTTGTGGCCAATAAATTGGACACTAATTTTGATGCTTTGCAGTTTTAATTACTGCATGACAATATTGATAAAGAGTAGGCTTTGTAATGTAAAAGGTCCGAGTTTGACACCTGGGCTCATATTCACAAAACTGTTTTCATGCTCACACTCCAATTCTGTGCTGAAGCCCAATTTCTGGTTCAGCTGGTAAATTAATAAAAACATCACATTTTGTCAACACTATTGGAAGCATTTGGGAGAAACTTGAAGCTGCGTTCTATTTAATATGTTAACACTTGATATTGGACTGTGTCACATGATTTAAGCAGGTTACAAGAAAGACGGTTTAAACACGAAATCCATGCTTGAGCATGAAAATGGTTTCATGAATATGGGCCCTGGTGTTTCGGTGTTTACTTTTTTAATTTAAAATAATTTCAAACATTTAAGTTTCAAACAACAGTATAATTCCATAACAAGAGGCCCATGGGCTTTGACGGTCACCTGAGTTCTGATATATTTATACAAAGAGTTGATTTTTGTTTTTAAAACATGAAAAGAAATATCATTCAAAGTGCCAAAAAACAATAAAACCACCATATTCAATATCTTGCATACAGATTTAAGACTGAAAAGTATTTGAAACTAGCACCTCTGATTCTAAACAAGGAAAATGAAGAAATTTTAGCACACTGACTCCTTTGGGGGGCGCCCTACAGTCCTTAGGGGTAGGGCTGGCTCAGGCTCAAAACTTTCAAAGTATCAAACTGTCAACTCAGGGTTATAATTCCAATCAAGTTACATGTAATATCCAAAGTACCATTTGCCAATATAAACCATAATAAATTTTTCCCCACCCCCTCTTCCCCAGGGGTAAACGTGAGACCCTAGGGTCATAAAATTCACAATTTTGGTAGAGCAACTTAAAACCCTTCCATCTATAAAGAGTATTTGATTCTACCATATCTGGGTCTTGAGAAGAAGATATGGAATCAGTCAATTTGACCAGTTTTGGCCCCACCCATCAGCCCCTGGAGGTCAGTCAGGGCTGATATGTGCATACCATCAAACTGCTATCCAATAATGATAATGCTAACTCAAATTGAATTACTTCCAATGGAAATTAAAGAAATGTTGGTCCAAAATGTGATTTCCCTATATAAACTTAAGTAAAGTTTACCCCCTCCCCAGGGGGAAACGGGAGACCCCAGGGTCATGAAATTCACAATTTTGGTAAAGCACCTTAAGACCCTTCCATCTAATTTGATTCTACCATATCTGGATCTTGAGAAGAAGATTTTTGAAATTTTAGTCAATTTGACCCTTTTTGGCCCTGCCCCTCAGGCCCCTGAGGGCTGGGGACCATATAATTCACACTTTTGGTTGACATTTTGCCATGGAAAGTTTCTGCAAAATGTCATTGAAATTGGTTCAGGGGTTATGGAGAAGAAGTCGAAAATGAAATTGGTTACGGATGCACACCGGACGACAGATGATGGACGGTGCACGACGCCGGACAAAATGCTTTGTCTCAGGTGACCTAAAAAGCATAGCAGCATGTGAGTTTTATGAAACATTCTTTTTGAAAAGGGCTTTAACAGAAATTTTCAAAGTAGTAATGATGATTATATTATAGCTTAACTTGTTGGTATCCTTTACCTTAAATTATAGGAAATCTGGAAAAGTGGTAACACTTTTTTTATGATGAAAAGAAATTAGAATACATTTTTTTCTGCATTCTTCTGTTTTTAATTATGATACACATAATTCTAAACCTACAACAGGATATTGGATGTAGAATGAAGCAAATCTTTGAAGATGAGATCATCCTAAACATTTAAGGACCCTAACAAAATCAATCAACTCAAAGATCTAACTCTTATGGCCAGGCTGGTGAATTCTATCCAGGAATCCATCAACTTGGGTACGCAGAACATCCACTAGCAGACCTTGGATCTCATTTTTCCTTGTATTTGCAAAATCAATCAATATTGGACCTACAGAACATGAAATTTAAATATTTACATTTGCATGGCATTGTCACTATATAGCCTCTTTGAAAGCTGTGTCGTTGATGGGACTTTAATTACCATGCATCACGAGACACAATTCTTAGCGTATTAATACAACACTGACCGGAACTACAATATCCAATATGAATAAACATGACGGCTGCTGAAATATCGCTGGGCATTGTGAGATTTGACAATGTCATTGTAAATTTATGTGCAAAATAAAAAATAAAATAAAAAACACTTTTATTACAACGAAAACAAGACCAAGGTCTGCAATATCGTACAAAATGCACATCGGTTGAAATCACCAATGCCGGCAATGGAAACAATTTTAACGCTCATGCAATTTATCAGAAATATCGTCTGTTACACTGTACTGATCAACAGGGGTTCGTTACAAATGTCTGAAATACACATATTCTATAGACCTACTGACACATATGTTACAGACCTACTGATATGAGTCACAGCACACATAAACATTTCAGACATTTGTAACGAACCTGTGCTCCGTCGCAAGATCACTCACTTCAAACGCTATCAGTTTCACGTGTCTCGCATCTACAGTTCCTCAGTTTAATTCTGACGACATGTCAAATAACGACGCCGTTATAGAATCTACCGACTGTTGTCAGGTTCCCATACAATCAACAAATAAATTCACGCCTGGATTCTTCACAAAATGAGCAAAGAGAAAAGTTCGAATTAACTTCCAAAAATAACTCCCTCGTGGAGGGCAAGGTCGGATTTACGGTGTTCACTGTATTTGTCCATGCGCGAAATTTGTTCCGGGGGAAAATCGAAACAACTTAAAATCTAACTTTCAGCTCAGAGTTCTATTGATAAACTTAAATCACCCTATATACATATCATACGCAATTGTATTGATCCTGAATTGTGGAATAAAATTGAAGTGTTTGGTAAAATTCCAAAGTACTACTTTGTTTGCCAATCAGCACGCGACAATACGTTGTTCAAACTATTGAACGAAATTGTGTGCACTGTCGATAAGGCGGGCATTTTTAATTTTAAATATAAATTATAAGTTAAAAAACAACATAAGAGGCAGAGAAAACGTAAATATAAGTATTGAACTGTTTTTGTATGGTATTTATGATCTATTTGAATGACACAGCTTTGCAAGCAAACAAATCATAATGCGCGTTGTTTGCTTGCAAAGCTGTGTCATTCAAATAGATCATAAATACCATACAAAAACAGTTCAATGCTTAAGTACGGTCAAAAGTCTTGACCTCTTAACCAAATGATGTACTCAGGGTTTCAACAGAATAGTACCTATATGTATGATGTGACCAGCGCTGTTTAACATCAGGTTGCCGTTGTGTCGGTCCTTCAGCTGTAGTAGGAAGCTCACGATGCTGTAGGCTGCCATACTGATGATGAAGTTTCTCCTTGCCTACAAAGGGAGGGCAGTTTTGTATATGTCACACACAAGTTTCTACAAACTTGACAAATTCCAGTAGTAGTTGCTGGTTGCCATTGCTACATATATATAGAGGATATAATCAAGGAGTATTCAATGTCCTGATGAAGCCTCAACTTTAGAGGCAAAACTAGTCGGCAATAAAAGATACCCACTCACTGGTGACACTTGTGGATATTGTGATTGAAATAAATACTCCTTGATTATTTATATTAACCATATTTCCTCAATCCCCCTGCATACCTTTTTGTATCCATACTCAAGCGCCCCCTCGATATCCAGGGGTTACGTTTACTTTCGCTCTCTACACCCCTGGAATATGTCATAGCAAAATTGAAGCCACGAAGATAGCTGTTTGATTGGTGTCAGGTAAAAAAAAACTGACCAATCGCTAGGCTCTTACATGTCCTTTGAAGATTTCAAAGGAAAGACGCCCGACTTCAAAGCCTGTCAATTTTTACCGTTACGTGACCGCGAGATTCTTTTGATGTACATCAAAGGATCCAACTAGTCTCATCAACAAGGTGGCGCACACCAAGCCTTCAATTTTGCTTTGACATATTCCAGGGGGGTAGAGAGCGAAAGTGAATGTACCTCCTGGATATCGAGGATGACTCAAACGCAGCACCCCACTTATCAACCCAACTCCTTTGAACTGGTGTTGGCTCTATTTTAAGGTTATATATAGAGGATCTTACAAAAGTGTCCATGTCATATTGAATTTATTAAACAAGTTTCATAAATACAATATGACATGGACACTATTGTATGATTCTATTTATCACATAACATTCATAACTTGAGAAAAAATTATTCAAACCAAATTTCATGTTATCGGCTGACTCTATATAGGTCAAAACCAAAGTACTCTGATCATAATATTATCATCTGTGCAGTGCAAAGTTGTTCCAGATTTAAAAACAAAAATTGATAGTTTTAAATGCAATGAAATTGTAATGACAAAATGAAAATTTCAAATTCCATTAATAACAAAAAAAATCTGAAAAAATACAGTTAATTAAGTTCACAATTTTGACCAATTACAGATTTAAAGATAGTGTGTACTCCTGATTTATATATTTGAGAATTATAAAACAAATAAAATTTTGTAATCTTAAAGATTTGGAGCATAACCAACTTTTTTTATATTACAGATTTAAAGATTGTGAGTACTTTAGAATTGTAGAGTTTGAGTCCTGTAGATTTACAGATTGTGAGTACTTTAGAATTGTAGAGTTTGAGTCCTATAGATTTACAGATTGTGAGTACTTACGGTCTGGAAGTCGTGAGTATCCTCATCCCCGTACGTCTGTATGAAGTAGTTGTACATACTGATATCCGTCTGTTTCCCTATCTCGTCACGAGATCTACTGTCTGGCACACACTCTATCACCCCATTCTACAACAGACAAAATACTCAATAATATTTCAATTCAAATTTCAGAAAAACAAATATCACTCCTTTCTATGCTATATGCCTATCTTATGGCATTGTTATCATCCTTAAGGATCCCTGTCCCACTACATTGTGGTATTTCCTATATACAGTAGCCTCCCCTTAACTTCCGTTAGGATATAACTGTAGCAAAATTTCGCCAGAACACTTCTGTTGACCAGGTGGTTCAGGTGGCCCAACTGAATTTTTACACTCAGAACACTATTTCAGATTAAACTGAACACAGAACTGTCCCTTTATAATTGGTCTAAACCTCAAATTCCGGCGAGATTGGGTTCTATAAGGGGAGATAACTTACCCCAGGAGAGGTGGCCACCACCCGATATGGTACTAGAAATAGCTCCAATCCTGTTTGCTCAAAGATATTCTTAAACATTGAGATCACCTGGAGTGCCAGCATGTCCTGCGAAACACATTAAAACACTCATCAGTATTGATGTTATTTGAAATAGTTATACTTTAAAAAATATTTTATATCATAAATTCCACATAATGATATGCCGATTATATTTACCACCAAGCTTCAGCAAATGTCTCAAAATTAATATAATCATGAAATATCTATTCCGTCTTTGCGTATTGCAGAGTTATCTTCTCTTGGGAGCAGGTATTGATTGTTACGTCATTGGTTTGTGTGAGAAAAATACGTCGTTTTCTCAAACATTGATGACGTTATTCTCACGAACAAGTGACGTAACAATCAATACCTGCTCCCAAGAGAAGTAACTCTGCAATGCGCAAAGACGGAATAACATCGATAAAAATTATTCAATTTGTCAAAGTTTGAATAAAAATTCAATATTACCAAAGTGTGATTTTTTCATTTATGAAAAACCTACTTCACTCAATGTCAGGTATCAGTTGGGTTTTTTTGGGTTTTTTTACCTGTCTGACATCGTCACCAACTTTGAAAATGGCTGCCTGCCACACAAGATCCTGTTCTTGAATGGCTAGATTGGAGGTGTCACTCATACCAAGGTTTTCCAGTTCAGTAATCCCACATTTCTTCACGCCGAACCGAGCCAGGAACGGTGCCTTGGCAGCACTAGAGACAAATTGACCAGGTTAATTACTTTCTGTCAGAAATTATTGCCAGAATTTCATTCAGGCATACAATTGGATAAACCAGCAAACACAGACCATTCAAATTTTGCAATGTAAGATTTTAATGTTATTCTGAAAAGATCTATCCAACATGTTCAGCAATTATCGTCATTTAATGTCATAATGTATTCCGGGAAATTTTTCACCCAGTCAATTAACTTTAGCCCTTAATTAGCCTATAAAATCAATTTTCGCCCAGTGGTAATTTCGTCCTTTACATTTAATTATTGTGTTTATTATGCTGTTTACTCATAGTTGGTGTGATGATGAGTTTGCCATCACTACAGAGGGTGAAAAATGGGAAAATTTAATTGCAGCAAAAATTTCCGGCATACAGTTTATTGTCCTGAAGTAAAGACATAACTATTAGTCAAAATATCAATAACGGTTAGAAGAGATTCTTTTCACATTTTTCAAAGTGTATATCAAAATGTCAAGTATGAAGATATGTACTTTCAAATATCTTTTAATAATTTTAAGTCAGGAAATGAGACCGAGAGCTTACCTCTGCATAGGTGTACCCGACTTATAATCAATCTTAGCTACGATAGCTTCCGGGTTAGAGGGCAGATAACATCCTGTTAAAAACAGACAAACAGCACAGTTGCTAAAATCTCCATTAGGTAAAATTAATTTCCATGTGTCCAAATCACATCAAATTAATTTCCATGAGTCCAAATCACATCAAATCACATCAAATTAATATCCAATTGTCCAAATCACATCAAATTAATTTCCAATTGTCCGAATCACATCAAATTAATTTCCAATTGTCCGAATCACATCAAATTAATTTCCAATTGTCCGAATCACATCAAATTAATTTCCAATTGTCCGAATCACATCAAATTAATTTCCAATTGTCCAATTCACATCAAATTTATTTCCAATTGTCCAAATGACATCACATTATTTTCCAATTGTCCTATTCACATCAAATTAATTTCCATGTGGCCAAATCACATCAAATTAATTTCCATGTGTCCAAACCACAACAAATTAATTCCCAATTGTCCAAATCACATCAAATTTATTTCCATGTGTCCAAATCACATCAAATCACATCAAATTTATTTCCAATTGTCCAAATCACATCAAATTAATATCCATGTGTCCAATTCACATCAAATTAATTTCCATGTGTCCAAATCACATCAAATCACATCAAATTTATTTCCAATTGTCCAAATCACATCAAATTAATTTCCAATTGTCCAAATCACATCAAATTAATATCCAATTGTCAAATTCACATCAAATTTATTTCCAATTGTCCTATTCAACAAACATCATTCATTTTTTTAAATGTATCATAGAGTTTTCCAATCTAATGTCCAATTAATTAAACATTTTGTCTAACCTATCAAATATATCATTCAATTTGTCAAATATATTATCCAATTTATAACTGTAATATCCATATCAGAAAATCTTGTAACAAAACATCTAATATCAAAATATTTATCAATGAGATTCATTGGTGTCAACCTCTGAAACCTCCAATGAGGGACATCTCCGTCTTTCCACATTATCAATGAGGGAGAAAGTGCGTAAAATGTGACTGAAACTGTTTTTCTCAATCTATCTTTCCCTTTTTATGTATCAAAATAACTTAGAAAAGCATTCATTTGATTCAGACACACCTGTTATCATCATTACACACACCCTGCAGTAACTAGGAGATCATTTGACCACAGGATGTAGATTATCATATAATATTTGATGATCTAATCTGTTTAATTTGATTTACATGATATCGAAATCATTGAGTATGTAAATGTCTAATTCACGAAAATATGATGTCTTGTAATTATTAGAATTCCCCACAAGTATTATATCTCAATGTCACATAAGATTACAGGAATAATATATAACAATGAAAATTATATAGGATATGACATTGTCATCGATATTATGTTTAATTCATCAAAATTAACATGATTATAATCTTACCTGGCTGAAGCTTGATCTTACTGAGTTCCTCCAGACACGCCTTCTTCCTCTCTGGTCCTTTGGGGAAGGGTCTGGTGAAAGGAGGTCAAAATCAGGTCAACATGTTATTGAAAATTCAATTAAATATTGTCTTTCTCTACCAAGAATATAAATATTTCTGTTCCTTTTCAAATCTTATATCTCCATCTGGAAAATATACCCCAAACAGGTGTATCTGCACTTTTCCTGGTGTGATATATACACAACACTTCCAGTCAGGGAAAGATATCTCTGTCTTACCATGGGGTAAAGATGGAGGGAATCCCCTGTCATAACAATTGCATGACGTCACATCAACAACGCAATGACGTCACGTCAACAATTGCAGATCACAGAAAAAAACTCTGATCTACTGAAAATCAACATTTGCATTTCATGAAATTAAATTATCACTTCTATTTGCTGAGAGAGAAATAAACATTCCCCACTTACGGAGTATGACAGAAATAATGTCTACCCTTGGGTTGAGATTTTTCCGTTTTATTCCCAAAGTGGGAAAAAGGTTATATTAGCCTCACCCTAGGGTTGATACAGGGGCTTCCCCAGTCATAATAATAGTATAATATCATGTAAATTATGGAGTGATGTCGGATCAAAATGTAAAAATATAATGTTAATAGTGCATCAGCCCCATAACATGAACATTGCACTTATGTGAGGTCCAACATAATAAGAGAAAACATCATTCATCCTTTGGGGTGAGATTGGGGATCTCAACCCTCGGGGAGGATTTTAAGGCTGCGGAACACTCCGCAAGCCTTGTATTGAGATCCCGGCCCCTACCTCATCCCTAAAGGAATGAAAGATTTTATCAATTTCTATCACCTTTCAGTTGTCTCAATCTAAAATATCAATATTTAAGTCAATTAATATACACTGTATTATCAAACTGGACAAATCAGCAAAAGAATTAAAAATTTTGGAACAGTTTCTCACAGTATTGGAATTTACAGTTCTGAGGAACATTATAATCACTCAGCATCGTTTGACGATGAACAAATTTCAACCAATAATTTAATTTCTCCAGCGTAATACATTAAAGCTGGTATAACATATTGTGACATTTAGTTACGGTGATAAAGACTATTTGTTACTCGAGCTTACTTGATGGTTCCAGAAATGGAGGTGATTTTACCAAAGAAATCAAATTCTCGTTCGTAGAACATAAGTGCAGGTCCAGAAAGCGACCTCTTGATGGCATCCATCAGTCGGTCCAGGGTGTCACCAATCTCCTCTGGAAACGGCAACAAAATAGCAACTCTTTATCACAAGGCATTCCCTTACACCATGTTCAGTATCAAACAAAATGTTCCTTTTTGTTTATTAGATTGTAAATTGATAGAAAAAAAAAATACTTTATTTTTTTCAGTTTAACTCATTCACCCCTGAAGACACATTTGAACTCTTCCAATTTAAAGGTTGGAATAGTTCATTATGACATTTTAGGGGTGAATGAGTTAGATTAAAAAAAAAAGTTATTATAAACCTAATAAATGTGCAATATGTTCAATTAGGTATAAGTTGTGACTAAGAAACAATAAATACTTTAAATAATTACAGAATGATGAAAAATAGAAAGCACTGGATGACATTCATTCAGTATAAAATCTTTGATCAGATTCATTGGTACACATATGACACATTAATAGTAATCTAGATTAATCTAAAGTTGATAAATATTTGAGCAACAGATTCTAAAACAGTTTGGTTTGATGGGGTTTAGTGTCCTGTTAACAGTTTAAGTCATTTAAGGATGATCCTGTATGAGTGTTATGAATGCATGACTGCTGGAGGTGATACGTTGGACAATGGTGTATTTGCCTCCTTGCAATAGTGTAGATCTAGATTTGATGCCCAATTTAGAGTGCTACCTCACTGAAATACCATAATGAAGGCACCCAGCACAGCATTCCACCCGGCCACATTATACTGACAACGGGTCAACCAGTTGTTGACATTCCCCTTATTGCAAACATTTAGCAGGGAATAGCAACTACCATTTTGAAGGACTTTGGTTCGGTTGCAGCCAGGGGACAGAACCTATTACCTTCCCCTCTTAGATGAACAGCTACCAACTGACTTGACCACAAAGAAATGAAAAAGTTAGAAAAGTATTGTACCATCTTTTTCTTGTCCTTCCTCGTCCCGGTAAACATTTGTCTTCATATTCCACAGCAGCTGGTGGGCCAGTAACTGGGAATGTTTGGACGCCCACAGGATAAAATCGGCCATGTACCCCATCTGTAATGTACATATAAACAAATATTACCTAGGTTTCTTGGTGTATTTCTTTTAAACCTATTAGATTATTCTCTGCACATCTTTTCTTGTTACGTATCTGTGAAAGATTGAAGCCGCAAACATGGACCTAATGATAGATGACGGCTGTGTGCAATGTTATAATCCTTGTATATGGATTATGCGGGTATTGGGTATAAGTAAGACCCAACAGGGACATAAATTAAGTACCGCTCGGGTATGACTCAGCACAGCTAAGAACGACACAGGATGACCTACGCAGACCGACACTAACACCTGAAGATCCAGTAAATAACCTTCAAATAGACCAACAAAAGATTGATGACTCTTGTAGTATTACACTCTAACATTAATTTATCTATTTTGATGTGTGTAAGTAAAGTCTGCTTACCGTATCGTATCTGACAGCCTGGACCAGCTGAGGAATGTAAAAGAGCAGAGCTTCCTGAAATGTACAAATAAACAGCAATGTGTAGAATGATGTAGTTCAGATTATCCATCAACCTGTACCTGGTTCTGTAATACAGTTAGCCCACAGTGAATAGACATATCCAGTATCAAAGTTTTATTTCATACATAAACAATGTACGTATGAAACGTAAATGTGTTGCAACGTTTCAAGACCGACTGGTCCCATTGTCAAGCTAGAAATATACAATTTCGTCAGATCGTTGTACAGCTAAACAATACAAATAGCTCACTCAGTCATAGTCTGACCAAGGGACTAGTCGGTCTTGAAATGGTGACACCTTTAATACATATATAGTTTGTGTATATATAAAAAATGATATTACATATTTCCAAACTGTGACACCTTTAATACATATATTGTTTGTGTATATAAAAAAATTGATATTATACATATTTCCAAACTGATGAATCTTATTGAAGATATTAGATATACGAGTACTTAGTTATTGGCAATGTGCGACTGTTTAATTAACGTAATCATATAAATCATCCAAGTGTTTGCTTTGTACCACGGAATAACAACCGCTGAGGTAATAAGATGACCAGAGTCAAGGACTTAAAATAGTCACCATCCTCGTACGATGTTGTAATATGAGATTTAATCCATCCTCGAAATTAGCATTTTGGATACTACCATTTTGAATATACCCCCTAGGGACAAAATAACCCTTTAAAATGCATATTATGAAATCATTTATTAGAAAATTATGTGCTAATGCAGCAATTCACTGGTTGGAAATATATTAAATGTAAGGGGATCAAATCGGGAATCTTCCTCCTAAAGAGCGTTTCCAAGTAGGTCTCTTTTTGTGAATCCAGTATAAAAACAATATACAGAATAAAAAGCAAAATCATTGACTTTCAAGTGTGAGAAATAAGAAACCGCTTTTATTGAATTTGTATATTTAAAACAGTCTGTATATGTAAATTTTATCCCAGCTAAGCAGCAGTTATCATAGGGGCTACAAGGCTACAGTTAAATATTGATTTTTTACACAGCAGTCCTGTGTGTAATGATGATACTTACCGGCGGGTGTGACCTAAGAGCTCTGACAGCGTACTGGGCTGTGATTGGGTGAGGTGGATACTGTCGCGAGAAGTAGGACAAAGCCACGACTGGGGATACCACCGACCACGTCAACATGTGACTTAGCTAGAAAACACATAGGGTAAAACAAGTATCAAACATGTCAGGTGTGACCTTGAAACTGAGGTGTGACCTTGAAACAGAGGTGCTTGTTTTTAGATAAATATAACACGTAATGTAATTATGAATTATACATTTTTAATTCTCCTAAGCTATATCCTACCCCCCCGCTCACATATTGTCATGACCTTGACCCTTTTTGTATGGTCTCAGTTATTGACAGATATGGTTTGGACGTACATTACAATAATTTCACCTCTGACCCCTTGTTATAAATGTTATGATGTCATAAGCACAGAACCAAAAATTCCAGTTCAACAGTTTTTAATCTTCCATTAAGTTACTGTATATACTGATTACTTACCTCTGGAGAATCAGCCTCCACACTCTCCGGGGTGACGAGGAAACGGATGGCTGAGGGGATGTGGCTCACTGCTCCTGGGTTCAGACGAACTAATCGGATTACTTCTTTTACTAAGGCCTCAGATTTCTTGATTCTACAAAATCAATGTTTTTTTGTGAAAAAATATTATACTTTTCAATATTTTGAAAATGTCACCAATAAAAAATATACCTTATTCAGAATAGAACAGAGTATCACAGTATAACTTAGGATTCAATTTTTTCAATTTTTCTGAAAGTCAATGTCGTTAGAACAGGTTTGGCTAATAACTAGCTGGAGGCTGCGACCTATTTTTCTTCTTTCTTGACCTGATTTTAACATCTTTAAATAAGGCATTAGAAGGACATCTGCAAGATCAATATAAATATATTTTGAAAAAAAGTTATAAATCATTAGCATAAATGGTATGTCATCTATCTTTTGCATTTCTCAACATGGTACAGTAACAGTCGAGTTACCTGGAAGGGAGATAAACGGACAGTGTTGGCGACAGTTCCCATGATGATCTCGCTTGTTCCCGCCAGGTTTTCTCACTGACGGCCTGGCTTCTCCAGATGGCAATCTTGTCCTCGTCGGGAACTTTCAGGTCCGGAATTTCCAGTGGATTGTGCCAGGTAATAAACTCCTCCAATGCATAGCCCTGAAGTCATAGGACAGGTAAAATACAAACTTCATTTATTTTACAACAACTATGAAACAAGTTATTTCAATTTATATATATCGCTCTTGTTTCTGATTTTAGCGCAAGGGTCTTTAAGTTAGAGGAAACCAGAGGACCTGGAGAAAACCCACGTGGTCAGGCAGGCGACCTTTTCAGGTCCAATTGGGAAATCGACCCCCAGTCGTCTTGATGAACGGTGAGTGCGTTATCCACTACACCACCCAATCTCACTTACACTCCCATCGGACAGGTGTGTGTTCCGCAGAGATTATATGGGTGAAAGGGGATAATTCTTTATGAATTTCCATATTCCATATACTTGTATGATGTTTAACCATTTTTTCCCAGACGAATGCGTTATCTGCTGTGCCTACCGACCACCCTAACATTCCCATAGGACAGGTGTGTGTCCAGCAGAGATTATATGGGTGACACAGAATTTTACTTGAATTTCCATATTCCATAAACCTATATGATGTTTGACACTTTTTTCTCTCAAATGCCATGTCTTAAATGAAATATAAAAACATTTAGGTTGGGCGGGGGCGGGGAATGCTTTTCGTGAAGGAATAATAAAGAACTTGCTGTCACTTACGCAGGCAGTGACGTACTAATTACTTACCATCAGGCTGAGGATTAGCGTTCGTTCACGCACTAATTACTAACCATCAGGGTGAGGATCAGCGTTCGTTTACGCACTAATTACTAACCATCAGGGTGAGGATTAGCGTTCGTTTACGCACTAATTACTTACCATCAGGCTGAGGATTAGCGTTCGTTTACGCACTAATTACTAACCATCAGGCTGAGGATCAGCTTTCGTTTACGCACTAATTACTAACCATCAGGGTGAGGATCAGCGTTCGTTTACGCACTAATTACTAACCATCAGGGTGAGGATCAGCATTCGTTTACGCACTAATTATTTACCATCAGGGTGAGGATCAGCGTTCATTTAGGCACTAGTTACTTACCATCAGGGTGAGGATCAGCGTTCGTTTACACACTAATTACTTACCATCAGGGTGAGGATCAGCATTCGTTTACGCACTAATTATTTACCATCAGGGTGAGGATCAGCGTTCATTTAGGCACTAGTTGCTTACCATCAGGGTGAGGATCAGCGTTCGTGTACGCACTAGTTACTTACCATCAGAGTGAGGGTCAGCGTTCTTTTACGTACTAGTAACTTACCTTCAGGGTGAGGATCAGCGTTCGTTTATGCACTAGTAACTTACCATCAGAGTGAGGATCAGCGTTCTTTTACGTACTAGTAACTTACCTTCAGGGTGAGGATCAGCGTTCGTTTATGCACTAGTTACTTACCATCAGGGAGAGGATCAGCGTTCGTTTACGTACTAGTAACTTACCATCAGGGGGAGGATCAGCGTTCGTTTACGCACTTATTTACCATCAGGGGGAGGATCAGCGTTCATTTAGGCACTAGTTACTTACCATCAGGGTGAGGATCAGCATTCGTTTACGTACTAATTATTTACCATCAGGGTGAGGATCAGCGTTCGTTTATGCACTAGTAACTTACCATCAGAGTGAGGATCAGCGTTCTTTTACGAACTAGTAACTTACCATCAGGGTGAGGATCAGCGTTCGTGTACGCACTAGTTACTTACCATCAGAGTGAGGATCAGCGTTCGTTTGCGCACTAGTAACTTACCATCAGGGTGAGGATCAGCGTTCTTTTACGTACTAGTAACTTACCCTCAGGGGGAGGATCAGCGTTCGTTTATGCACTAGTAACTTACCATCAGAGTGATGATCAGCGTTCGTTTGCGCACTAGTAACTTACCATCAGGGTGAGGATCGGCGTTCGTGTACGCACTAGTTACTTACCATCAGAGTGAGGATCAGCGTTCTTTTACGTACTAGTAACTTACCTTCAGGGTGAGGATCAGCGTTCGTTTATGCACTAGTTACTTACCATCAGGGAGAGGATCAGCGTTCGTTTACGCACTTATTCCTAACCATCAGGGTGAGGATCAGCGTTCGTTTGCGCACTAATTACTTACCATCAGGGTGAGGATTAGCGTTCGTTTACGCACTAATTCCTTACCATCAGGGTGAGGATCAGCGTTCGTGTACGCACTAGTTACTTACCATCAGAGTGAGGATCAGCGTTCGTTTACGCACTAGTTTCTTACCATCAGGGTGAGGATCAGCGTTCGTGTACGCACTAGTTACTTACCATCAGAGTGAGGGTCAGCGTTCTTTTACGTACTAGTAACTTACCCTCAGGGGGAGGATCAGCGTTCGTTTATGCACTAGTAACTTACCATCAGAGTGATGATCAGCGTTCGTTTGCGCACTAGTAACTTACCATCAGGGTGAGGATCGGCGTTCGTTTACGTACTAGTAACTTACCATCAGGGTGAGGATCGGCGTTCGTTTACGCACTAGTTACTTACCATCAGAGTGAGGATCAGCGTTCTTTTACGTACTAGTAACTTACCATCAGGGTGAGGATCAGCGTTCGTTTATGCACTAGTAACTTACCATCAGAGTGAGGATCAGCGTTCGTTTGCGCACTAGTAACTTACCATCAGGGTGAGGATCAGCGTTCGTTTACGTAGATATTCCTTTACGAGACCAGAGTTAGTCCCCTGGTTTTTCCTCATAGCTACAACAAAATGCAAATGTCATTGTTTAGCTGCATAAATTTAAGAAAAATGAAATAACATTTCTTCTGACATTACTGTATATACTGTATAAACAGATCCGATTTATAATGAGTTTGCAAAAAATAATATTTGTAAAAAAAAACTCAAACTGTTTTGCTGTATAATAAGTCATCTGCTAACAAGTCATTTATCTACAGAATATTTCAAGTCATAAGAAAATTTTGAGTCAAATTACTGCAACCTAATTAAGGAAGGAAATCCATAGAATCAATTTTCTGCCAGATTATACATGTAATTTGTATATTCAATCCTAACATTAAAAAAAGAATATCTAAAATCCAATTACTGTTATCATTTCTCCTTAATTTCTTGTCCATGCAAAAAAAGAAAAGAAAAATTTGGAAACTATCGTACAATGAAAATGTCATTAAAATGAAATGCATTCATCATGCAATTATGCAAAAAGATAAAAAGATTTATAAAAAGAAAAATCCTTTTGATATGGAATGTGTTTTTATTTAAAAACAGTAATTTAAATGCTTGACTATATGCATCCTAAACTAAGAATGAAATAAGTTTTCATTATTCTACGACTTATCGTTGGATATTTTCACTTGTGGTATATATTAAAAGTTCAAATCTGTTTTTGACAACGAAAAAAATAACAATGATCCTTCATATTTTCTTTGAATAGTGAAACTGTGTTGAAAATCAACAAGAACTTGAATGCTCAATGTGACCTTTCTGGACTAAAAGAAAATCATTTTAACACTATTACGAAAAAAAAGAATTACTAAATTGAAGCGGCTTCGATATTTTTCAACACATTTATCAGACACAATGCTTTAGGTAAAAGAAAAGAAAAACGAACAAATTACATTCAACTCATGCTTGACCAATCTCTTGATCAGGTCACTGTTTGACAGTTAATTTATAGGCGTGGACAGTGTTTTTAGACGAGGCCAGAAGAGGGCTTTGAAGTTTTAATCAAGTTAAATGGTTACCTTTACGACTAGATTTTAGTTTTCCTGTATGATGTTAGAATGACAGGTATATGATTGATATACATACAAATGGTTTACTAGCAATCCGACAAAATGCATTCAAGAACTTCATACCCAGCACTTTCATGATACATGTATTCATAATAACATTCAAATTGTATAAACAATGTAACACACAATGACACCTACATGAAGTTTAATTACCACTAGAAAAAAAGTCACTTTTAAGGATCCCTGTCCCACTAAAATGTGTTTTTCCGTATATACATGCAGTAGCCTCCCCTAACTTTCGAATCCTGGTCTAGCTTGACTGCATTTTTTACTTATATTTTATTTATTTCACTTTCATTATTTTTCACAAAAGTCCTGCAAAGTATGGTTTTCTTTAAATATCAAAGCTGAAGTCGTTCCGAAAAAGAAAAAAAATTAAAATGCATAGTTACATTTTCTGGCAGTGGTACGGGGATCCTTAATGTTTGAGTGATACCACTAGTGGGAAGTTGTCACTGTGTCATTTTCTTTGAGATCTTAATTATTTCAGTAGCTGCACATTCAACGAGTTGAATCTTCTTTTTCAAAAACAGTTTCAATTGGTTCCCATTCACACAAACATGATGCAATAAATTATAACAAATAAAAGCAGTAACATGCTAAATCAAGTGTTAATTAATTTATCAATTTGAAAATATTTTTATATTGATATAAATACAAAAATAGTTGAGCTTTATTATTTAAGACAAATTATGAGAATATTATTTCTTAACGAATGAGAGGTAGACATGGAAAGCAAACAAGTTATTGTTTATAGGTCTCAGCTCTGAAATACTAATCCCTAATAAGGCTTGTAAAATCAACAGTGCTTATTTCATAGTTCTAAGGTAAGGGAGGCAATGCACAAAATGTCAATTCAATTCAGAAGGGTTAAAGATAGGAATATGAAGTTACAAACTATAAAAGATTTGGTTAATCACGTAATCGATTTCTGGATTTATTTCACGAATCTAAATGTTAATTACACATGAAACAGGACTTTTTCCTGATCTTATTCTCAAATGAAAAATGCTGTCAAAAATAAAGTTTATGGAGACCCATGTTTATGGACCCTTAAAGTAGTGTTTTTAACCAGTGAATTTGCTTAATTATTCCTATATTTTAAGATGTAATGAGTTCATCTGAAAGAACAACACGAAAAATATCATTATTAAGGGTCATTATGTCTCTAGGGGGTAAATACATTTTTTATCTATGTTTAAATTTTAAGCATGCAGAATCTCCCCTATTGAAATTTAAAAACAGTTGACAAGTATGGATTATATAGAACATTTCTAAAGATACTGGTACTGAGTTAGATGTATCTCACTCAGTGCCAGTATCTTTTTATAAACGTTCTGGTCTCACTAATTACAGTAATAATATCACTAGAATTTGTCTATCAACCAATGACATTAAATCATGATAACTAATGTATTATACAAAGGAGGTAATACACAATAACAAATTTGGATAATTGAGATATATATATATTAGGGTGAAAAAAGTAATTCTATCAAGATTTCTATCCGTATAATAATTACGCTAATTTTAAAGTTTTATACAACAACATTAATTCTTTTAATAAATGAGACATTAATTCTGAATCCCTGAAATGACACAGGAATCTCTGAAAATGAAAATAATATAACTTATATGTATATATGCCCTGCGCTGTCTTAACAAACATGCCATCATGTTTTTTATTTGTTCTAATAATCAATTCATAGTTAAAAATACAAAAGATTTGATTAACGCTCCCAGGGAGATACTTGTACAAATTGTATAAGATTCATGCATATATGATAATTATGTATATATATATATATGTTGTTATTAAATAAAATTGCAGGAAAAAATGGTAGAATATGTTCTGGACGTCTCCAGATAATTACACATAGCAGACGGATACGATGGATGTGGTCCTATGGACAGGCCTGAAAGCAGAAAGTCAGATCTTACGTGAAAGCGGTTCATGTTCATCGTACAGTTCAAGTGTCACAGATATTGTTATCTAAAATATTCTGGGGTTTAAACAGCAAACTGGTAGGATACTCCATCTGTTTTCATTCTTGATAGGTTTAATTGTTTATTTGAAAAATTTAGTCCCACTGTAAGCAAAAAACAAGAGGATTTCATGGTCTTTAATACATAGAGTTAGCTCCCCTTAATTCTGTCTTTGGTGGCACTAGGCCCTGAACTTGGGTAGAGCAACTGCAATGTGATAGGGAGACCTGGGTTCAAATCTTGGTTTGACCAAATACATTTTTGGCTTCCCTTAATATAGATTTGGATATATTTGGAAATTGAGCGAGCTCTCAAAGTAATAACCCAAACTTGCGCTTACAAAGTTTCTGGAGCAGAAATTAAAGTTTCAAGGGCCATAACTCCAGGAAAAATAATCGAATCACTAATTCCTTTCTTCATGCACATTTCCGTATATTATAATTTAGCTTTGCCACCTTACAAATAAAAATCCAACAAACTGTTAAAGAGGAGTTGCGCTTCCAAAGTTTCTGGAGCAGAAAATTGAAAGGGCCATAACTCCAGGAAAAAAATAGTCAAATGCCCATTCTTTTCTTCCTGCACTTCTATTCATGATGTATTTTCACTGTGTTAAGTTACAAAAAAGATCAAACACACGGTTTAGGAGTTGCACTTAGAAGGATCATGAACAGATCTAGAGTGACTGACTGACAGACAGGTTGATTCCTATATACCCCAACAAATCATGTTTGCATGACAAAACCTCTCCAGCTGTGACAAATATGACAAAACCTCTCCAGCTGTGACACACATGACAAAACATCTCCAGCTGTGACAAACATGACAAAACCTCTCCAGCTGTGACAAATATGACAAAACATCTCCAGCTGTGACAAACATGACAAAATTTCTCCAGCTGTGACAAACATGACAAATCATCTCCAGCTGTGACAAACATGGCAAAACCTCTCCAGCTGTGACAAACATGACAAAATTTCTACAGCTGTGACAAACATGACAAAAAATCTCCAGCTGTGACAAACATGACAAATCATCTCCAGCTGTGACAAACATGGCAAAACCTCTCCAGCTGTGACAAACATGACAAATCATCTCCAGCTGTGACAAACATGGCAAAACCTCTCCAGCTGTGACAAACATGACAAATCATCTCCAGCTGTGACAAACATGGCAAAACCTCTCCAGCTGTGACAAACATGACAAATCATCTCCAGCTGTGACAAACATGGCAAAACCTCTCCAGCTGTGACAAACATGACAAATCATCTCCAGCTGTGACAAACATGGCAAAACCTCTCCAGCTGTGACAAATATGACAAAACATCTCCAGCTGTGACAAATATGACAAAACATCTCCAGCTGTGACAAAAAATCTCTGCCTGTGACAAACATGACAAAAAATCTCCAGCTGTGACAAACATGAAAAAACATCTCCAGCTGTGACAAACAGGACAAAACATCTCTATCTGTGACAAACATGCCAAAACATCTCCAGCTGTGACAAATATGACAAAACCTCTCCAGCTGTGACACACATGACAAAACATCTCCAGCTGGGACAAACATGACAAAACATCTCCAGATTTGACAAACATGACAAAACATCTCCAGGTGGGACAAACATGACAAAACATCTCCAGATTTGACAAACATGACAAAACATCTCCAGATTTGACAAACATGACAAAACATCTCTATCTGTGGCAAACATGACAAAACATCTCCAGCTGGGACAAACATGACAAAACATCTCCGGCTTTGACAAACATGACAAAACATCTCTATCTGTGGCAAACATGACAAAACATCTCCAGGTGGGACAAACATGACAAAACATCTCCGGCTTTGACAAACATGACAAAACATCTCTATCTGTGGCAAACATGACAAAACATCTCCAGCTTTGACAAACATGCCAAAACATCTCCAGCTGTGACAAATATGACAAAACATCTCCAGCTGTGACAAACATGGCAAAACCTCTCCAGCTGTGACAAACATGACAAAACTTCTCCAGCTGTGACAAACATGACAAAACATCTCCAGCTGTGACAAACATGACAAAACATCTCCAGCATAGTGAGTGAGCACAAAGGAGAAAACAGACACTATACAAACATAAACGTTCTCTGCAGCTAGCAGAAATTTTGTGACTTTTTCAGAGATTATTCACTGCAATGAAAGATTCATCAAGCAATAATGAACATTCAAAAGAAATGACATCTTCATATATTTGTTGATGTCACCAGGTAATGAATGCCGCACGAAGGTCTTGTTTTTAATCTGTTCATATCTGCCTTGCAGGTCTACAGATATTTGTGTTTCTTCAGAAAACCCCAGACCACACGTGCACCCACATGGACTTTGGTAGAACACCCCAAACAACTTAACATCAACTCCCTCCCAGTTCTCAAGTTACGTTGAAAATGTACATCAATGACTCACTAAAAAAGAATTTCACAGAAGGAATCCATGATATTTTTTCATATAGAAAACTGGATTTGTTAGCATAAACTCTTGGAGTATAAAGAATCTGCACATCAACAGAATGGACCTGGTGTGGATGAGTTTGTCTGGTATCACAAACCAGAACCTATATTTACATATCCAAGTAATGAACACATGTACAGCAGACAGGACACAATGTTAACGTTTATAAATCTGTTCTATATAAGTTTACAATGCTAGAGTTAATAGTACCACATATACTGCACATGTATGATTTGTACAAGATTGTCTCCACAAGCCATCAAAGCTGGTGCAGAACACCTATACATACAAACGTATTACAAGACATTCTACACTGAACACAGAACATTTTACGTGTAGAAGCCTTTTAGACTTCACAATCAAAGCATTACATGTATGCTGACTATAAAAATGCACTAGAACCGACCCTCAGACTCCCTGTGTCCGCCACAGGCACCAAACAAGACACATGATGCACAAACACCGTCACAGGCCACACTCTGTATTGTGATATAATGATTACAAGATTTTCTGTACTCAATGCATGAGTACCAAAATACTCTGTGTTAGAAGTATGCAGCTACTGATGTGAGTATACCATTATCCGTACTAATTACATAGTACTCAGAACTTACTATAAGTATGTATGCATTCAAATTCTCTGTGTTAGTTGTGGAGGAGCATACATGTTACTCTGTGCTGTTGCCAGTATGCAGTAATCCCATTCCTAGTTGTATCCATAGTTACTTAGTATGCACCATTAGCCATTATTATCTATACACAGTACTCAGTACTATTTAGTTGTGAGTATGCACTAGTTGTGTGTATGTATACAAAGTACCCAGTATTGGTGAGTGACTCGCACACCACTAGTTGTTTGTAATCACAGTACCCAGTGCTGGTGGTCAGTATGTATACACAATACCCAGTACTTGTGGTGATTATGTATACACAGTACCCAGTACTGATGGTGATCATATATACACAGTACACAGTACTGGTGGCGAGAATATATATGTATACACAGTACCCAGTACTGGTGGTAAGTATGTATATACAGTACCAAGTACTTGTGGTAAGTGTATATACACAGTACCCAGAACTGGTGGTGAGTATGTATATACAGTACTGGTGGTAGGTATGTATACACAGTAACAAATACTGGTGGTAAATATGTATACACAGTACCAAGCACTGATGGTCAGTATGTATACACAATACCCAGTACTGGTGGAAGGAATGTATACACAGTAACAAATACTGGTGGTGAGTATGTATACACAATGCCCAGTACTGGTGGTGAGTATGTATACACAATCCCCAGTACTGGTGGTGAGTATGTTTACACAATAGCCAGTACTGGTGGTGAGTATGTTTACACAATAGCCAGTACTGGTGGTAGGTATGTTTACACAATAGCCAGTACTGGTGGTAGGTATGTATACACAGTACCAAATACTGGTGGTGAGTATGTATACACAGTACCCAGTATTAGTAGCGAGTATATATACACAGTACCCAGTACTGGTGGTAAGTATGTATACACAGTACACAGTACTGGTGGTGAGTATATATACACAGTACCCAGTACTGGTGGTAAGTATATATACACAGTACCCAGTACTGGTGGTGAGTATGTATACACAGTACCCAGTACTAGTAGCGAGTATATATACACAGTACCCAGTACTGGTGGTAAGTATATATACACCGTACCCAGTACTGGTGGTGAGTATGTATACCCAGCACACCGTCCTGGTGGCGAGTATATATACACAGTACCCAGTACTCGCTGTGAGTACGCACCACTAGTTGTTTGTATGTAAAAACAGTACCCTGTACTGGTGTCACTACTGTTTAATACAAACAACTAGTGGTGCGTACTCCAAGCTAGTACTGGGTACTGTGTATATATACACAGTATCCAGTACTGGTGGTGAGTATGTATACACAGTACCCAGTACTAGTGGTGAGTATGTATACACAGTACCCAGTACTAGTAGCGAGTATTTATACACAGTACCCAGTACTGGTGGTGAGTATGTATACACAGTACCCAGTACTAGCTGTGAGTACGCACCACTAGTTGTTTGTATGTAAACACAGTACCCTGTACTGGTGTCACTACTGTTTAATACTCACATTCCTGGTTGCAAGTTTTTAACTACATTGTACTTGTTGTTAAGCTGTATGCATACATTACTAAGTGCTGTTGTGAGTACCGATGTGTGCTCCTGAGTTGCAAGTCCCAATTAAACAACATGATGCAATCTGATGCATAAATACTTGCCCACGGTGGTGGGTATTTGATCTGAGGTCAGTGCTGAACCGAGCTGACCTTTCTCTACATGGCCGTAGAGTCCAAATACCAGGCTATACCGATGACCACTTGTTGAAACAACTATAAAATCAATCAGGACTCAGGATGATGAAAACTCAATAAATTAATGACAATATTTTAACCCCTTCATTCAAACAGAGCACATACATGTACCTGGTAAAAAAAACGCAATCTGAAGCTTATCTTACTGGAAAACACATTTGATTTATACAATAGAAAAAAATCTTAAAATGTTTGTTAAACAAATAAATACATTCAAATAACATTTATGTTGATTATATAGTTTAGGGAAAAGAGTTTTTGTAAACAATCTATATGAACATCCTTACTAAGACTTGGTATGAAGCTATATGAATACACGTCAACAACACCATCCAATAGGATTGTCACGTTTATATCAGTGCATATAGACGCAGTTCAACCTCACTGTGTCTGAAGAGATGTATTCAATAAAATACTCGACAAATCTACACGCCAGTGCATGAGAACATAACTCTGTTTCAAACTAAGGGAATTTGATATAGAAGTTAAAAACTTTGAAAGAAGCCAGATACATAAAATTACCTATGAGCTACAGAGAAATATATCTACCGGTGCACAAATTCGACAGGACGTGGATCTGTCACTTCCACTAAAACACACGTGATAGAATGATGAAATAGCAAAGATATAAAGCTACTACAAGTAACGTCATATAACGACGAAAGGATTTTCAAAAATACCATGATAAAATTCAATTGATAAAGGCAAAATTTATGTAATAATTTTAGTACTACCTATATAAGCAAGTACAGTGAAATGATAAAACAGAATGAGAAAAGTTTGAAGTAGGATCTTTAGTGTAAAACCATGAATTTGAAATTATTAACTCTTTCACCCCTGAAAACACATTTGAACTCTTCAAGTTCAAAGGTTGGAATAGATCATTATGAAATTGAAGGGGTGAATGAGTTAAATATGTGCTTGCATAAACAACCCTCTGCATCAGTTTCTTATAAGCTCTGATGGAAAACGTTCTTGGATCACTTTATACCTGTCTTTCTCTATTCACAAGAAAATCCAATCAATTCCATATACTTTCTTGAAACAGTTTAGACTTAGTCTTGTTAAATGACATAATCCAATGTTAATATAAAAAAAAAATTGTCATTAATTATTATTGATTATTTCAAGTCTAAGGCAATACAATTTAGTTCATACCTTTTTTTCCTTATTTCAACAAAAGAAATTTAAGATTCAATTATAGGATGAAATAAAAAATTCATGGACAAAAAATATGAATTAAAATGAGTTATGACTTCTATCCTAGTGAATATTGAGCCTGAAAAACTTGATCAAGGGTTGATATGCAGCTTATACATGTATCCACTATTTTTTGATAAACAGTTTTATCTACAAAATCTATATAGAATAGAAGAGACAGTATGCTATGGAGAATTAACAATCTACATTAATTAATAAACAGAGAATAATAATCTGAAGAGTAAAAATGTAATACTGAGAGTGCATTACAACGTACCGTTGGACCGCTCAGACTTTTGGGCTACAATCAATTCCAAAAACTTTTATTTGCTGCAGGTGATATTGTAGAAGAGTGAATGACAGTTAATCTAATAATACAATGTATACCCAAATTTGATCAATATAACTCATCAGAAAACACTGTCATGAATTGACATCTCATTCTTAGAAAGACTGTCTGAAACTTCACAATCTATGACATTTCAATAAACCTTATTTTGGAGCATTAAGACGGACAGTTAATAGTCAAATTTATACTGGAACATTTAATTTCATAAAAAGTAAAACATATTTAAAAAAAAAATGAAAGTAACAACTTACAAAGGTACAAGAATGAGCATATTTTACAAAGAATTGAATCTGTGATAATCTTATGTGCAGGTTCACGTGGGTGGCCGGGTGGCACAGTGGAGAGCACACTCGCCTTACACCAAGACGGCCAGGGTTCGATTCCCCGATTGGACGTGAACAAGTATAAGGTCACCGGCACCTCCACATGGGTTTTCTCTGGGTACTCTGGTTTCTTACCACATTAATTACAAGACAATCCATGTTTTAACAACCAGGCCAACAAGACTGGCAAATTGACAAGATCCCAGTGTTGGTATTTTTTTAAGACATTTTTTCTGCGAACACTTTCCTTTCATTATTTACTGGATTGTAAGGCGACAAGTGAAAGTGTAAAAATGTGTGGCATTTTTCATTATTTCCACAGAATATCACTTTGTTTTAAGAAAAGAATGAGCTCTGTAAAAGTTATGGTACAGATAGTAAACATGAACTCAATCAAGTAAACAACAACAAAGTCCATAGGTCACAAACTATAGGACAAGTAAAATGCACACAACTAGAACTACTAGAATATTACCAGAAAATAATAACAGCAACCCCATTCAAACTTTAACTAGTTTTTGCCTACATTCTATCAGAACTATAATCATACAATCAGACTTATCATGTGCTGGGAACAATTCACTTAATAAATAAAGTGATGTTATTGTTTTTGCAAACTCATTATCGTCCAACACATTCTTCAAGGTCAAATATCACTCTCAAGGTCACCAAACTTGACTTTGTAGCTATTAATAGCAATTTGTTTCTTTGTAAAAAGGCTATCCTCCCAAACTTAAACAAAAATTTATTTCATATAATATAAAGGCAATGAATTTTCTTTTCCTGTCACGTTCTATCAAATCATTTTTAACAGAAATACTTTTACGAAGCAGTCACAAGCAGTTCATTGTTAAATGTGGAGTTAATTGAACTCCAGCATTAGGATTTAAGCTCTGTATTTGGAAGATGAAGAAATGTTTTAAATGTGCAATGTAAGTTAACTATTACCAAAAGTTTATCAAATACGGTGAAAGTAGAACATAAACAAGTCTTCTTAACCCTTTCACCACTGTAGACCATCATGGACTCAACCAGCTGATCGACGCATGGTAGAGCCTACTAAAGTTACATGGGGTTGCAAGGGTTTTAATTGGAAACAAAGTGAATCATCAAACTACCCACCATTTAAACTTCAATGTAACCAACAATACTCATCATTATATCTACATACAATTACTTCATGTTAAACACAAACATTAGCTACAATGTAACTATAACAGAGAAAGTAACAAAGTCCCCTAAACCACGACTGCAATCACAAAATATCCAAGTTGGTATCAACTGCACTTATCGCAAACAACTAAAGTCGTTTGATAAATGAAACCCCACTGTATATGTATGGTTGATAATCATTTCAGAATCATTTTAGGGAAGTAGACGATACTCCACCAACTTTTCACACCCGAGAACCATGGTTCTGTATAGAATACTCATTGGAAGAATGTTTTGAGTATGTGAACGATACTCTACCTAATATTCACACCCGAGTATACAAACCCATTTAAAAATAATTGTGAGTAAGCAGACAATACTCTATGTAATACTCACACTCGAGTATACAGAGTTCTATATTACAATATTAAACCTAATATTCACACCTGAGTATAAAATCACTTTAAGATTGATTTTGAGTAGGTAGACAATACTCTACCTAATACTCACACTCGAGTATACAGAGTTCTATACACATTACTCACTTGAGGAGCGTTTTGAGTACGTGGACATGCCCGAGTTGATAGTATTGATCCACTTTGTCTGCTGCATCAGGTCCGTGGAGATACCGGCGCTCTGGGACATGTTGAGGGTATTGGTGTCTCCCCCACCCACACTTCCTGTCAAGGGAGACAACTTATTGTTAACCAATAAGGCTAATTTAGGTACCAGTTGTCACCATAGATATGTATAATGTAACTCGTTTGTTCTTTAAGAATTTGAATAAGTCACATGGCCAATATTTATCATTTGTGGTGATAATAGGTAATTGCTGCTCAACTGTTGCTAAAATATTGTCAATTTTATAGAAAGATACTTGATTATAAGTGTAGCTAGTTTTAGTAAATCTTCAAAATTTGTCACGATATGGTAAAATTGACGTTAATCTAGACTTACTTGCTTATTTGTTAATCCTTCTTTATTTCAACATCATAGGTATCAACCTCTGAAACCTCCAATGAGGGAGATCTCCCTCGTTCCACATTTCAGATGGGGGAGAAAGTGCGTAAAATGTGACTGAAACTGTTTTTCTCAATTTATCTTTCCCTTTCTATGCATCAAAATAACTCCAAAACTCACTCATTTGATTCAAACACACCTGTTATGATCATTACACACACCATGCAGTAACTTGGAGATCATTTGACCACAGGATGTAGATTTAGATTTTGTGCGAGGTTGGACTTGAATGAAGGAGTTTCGAGGGAGATTGGCAAATTTTGGTCAAAATGAGGGAGGTTTCACACCTATGCAACATATTGCACCTAACTAAGAAAGATAAATAGAGACAAATTATACTAACCACCAAACGGCACTGTGTTCTGCGTTAAGTACTTTTTATCCCCGTGCATCTGTTTCCAAAACTTGATGATGGTGATGATGTCCTCCCGCAAGTGAACACTACGCTGGGTCGGGTATATCGCTGGCCCACTGAGACAGGGATAATATCAATTCAGTCACATGATAACATACAGACTTCTGATTGGATAGAGTGAAACCTGTCACATGACAAGATCAAGACTTCTGATTGGATACAGCGAAACCTGTCACATGATAAGATCTAGACTCCTGCTTGGATACAGCGAAACTTGTCTAAACCATCCAAACATCATAAGGTCTGATCTGATAGCTCAAAATCAACACAGAACTGGACACATTAGTATTATGGAATTCAAGAGATAATCAAGAGGTTGGTACCGATATACATGTAATTGTTATTCTTTAAGTTCACTGAATCTGTTGGTATGTATCACCGAGTAGATATCATTTCTATATGTAATTTTTAATGCCAGTAGAAGAGTTTTGAAATTTTTGAAAGCCCTAAAGAAAAAATTTGCAATAAGTTTCATAAATGTCATATGATATGGAAATAAATTAAATCCATTTCATATTCACACATGAAGCATGTTTGTGGCAGATTTTAATTGTACATAGGATTACAGTCGCCTTCTTGCTTTACACTAGAGGGAATTTCCCTTTAGCTCAGTGGTAGAGCGTCCGACTAGGAAGTCTGTGATTGCGGTTCAATCCCCGTTGAAAGCATACTACTCGCTTTCCCTTTTTACATGGCAATGTCACAAGTGACACTTGGTTGCACAAAACTTAATTACTTCACTAACAAATTTACGATATCTTTTTCACCTTTAAGCTTGACAAGTTATACAAACTCACGCAAAATAGTCAAGTGCTGCAGCGTAGACCCTCTCTCTGAGAACTGTCTTGTTTGTAGTCTTGGACAGGAAGTCTCCTTGTAATAGGGATAGGGCCATTGTCAGTAGCCTGTAACGATAAAATTTACAGTAAATATACCAGCTAAATCAACATGAAACATTGCATAAAAATAACAAAGGCTTATTGGATTTTTTAAACCCCAGGCATTCTATATGGTGTTGGCGGGAAGGAGGTGGGGATATAGTGTTATCCATGTTGGTCCTACTTCGTCCCGTGGTAATTCATTCTTCTGACTCTACCGACTGCAATTATCAGTAGGTTTTTACAACAGTTTATACAAATAAAGGTTGAGCAGTGTTTCAACTTAATGGTAGACCCATAGACAATCACAATGAAAAACACTGTAGGTCTATCCAAATCACTTACCGGTACTTCATAGACCAAATTTTCCATGACGTTATATCTGATGTGTGCTAACTTTATAACTCATTGGAAAGAAGCAACAGTGAGAGAAAAAGTCCACTGGGAAAAATCTTTTATTATTACACAGATTTTCTCTATGCATGAAATTTCTTGGTTACGGTCTGGTCTATCAAAATTACAGTAGTTCTATAAGAAATTCATATCGTATAAATATTAATATTGTCTATAGTAAGTAAGTCCTTAAATCTAAGACTGGGTTAAGTATGCTAATACCTCAGATGATTTCCTATTTCAGGGTCCCAAGGTCGACACCAAGGTCACTGTTGCCATTTATATGTCAACCTCGGAAGCCAAAGGGGTGTTCATGTCTTACAAACGTTATTATTTTATCTAGATTCCACATGGTAGTACAATACATAATAACTTACAGGCAATCAGATTTTACGAAGAAACTTTTTTGAGACGAGCAATATAATATGAATGCTAAAAGAACACCTGTTTTGAAGTTGTACACAAGCCAAACCAGACATGGTAAGATTGCTTAAAAGTCCTACCTTGTGCGCGGGCCGACTGCAGCAGGGTGACGCGAGATTTGACTGGGCTGCTTGCCGACACCGATGGCCAGGGATTTATTGAGGAGACTACACAGGATGCTGACCTGGTCGTCAGAGCTGTACCGTGCCACTTCTATACGCTCCGCCAAAAACTGTATTGAGAAACGAAACGGTTATAAATTATTACTAGATCAAGCTTAAGACCTCAATACAGTCTATTAAAACATGAAACACTGGTAATGATCAATTAGTTATAGAAAAAGGCTTTAAAGAGTTTCTCTTAAATCTCAAATGAGACAAAAAGGCATTCTTGATACTTCAGTGGTTACGCGCAATTTCGCTCTATGCACCCTTGGACTATGTCGTGACAAAATTGAAGGTTCAGTAGTGTGCACCACCTTGTGGATGAGACAAGATAACTAGGTCGATCCTTTGATGTACATCAAAAGAATCTCGCGGTCGTGTAACGGTAAAATTGAATGTGTTTGGAGTCAGTGGTCGTTTCTCTGTAATTATCAAAGGACATGCATCAGCCTAGCAATTGGTCAGATTTTTTAACCCGAGTCCAATCAAATAGCTACCTGTGTGTCTTCAATATTGCTGTAACATATTCCAGGGTCACAGAGAACAACAATGAAGTGTAACCTCTAGAGTATCTAGGACGAGTCAAAAGGGAAATACTTGAGAGGTGTATACCAAAAAGTCATTTTAAACTTCGATGTAGATTTCAGTCACTCTTCTGTTAAATATGATCCTCTGCAATAATTTTGCATGTATCAGGAAGTGTGTGTACAGTAAAACAAAATTAGTCCTCAGCTTGAAAATGATTGAGGTTATATATGTCGAAGCAAAACATGGATATTTTTCCATACTCTGTGATGTAAGCAATGAACTTGGGTGTGAATCTTTGTTAGTTGGGATCTTCTCAGACAAAATATTAATCTGTACAAACTAAATATTTGGCTATGCCAATTGTAAATATCAGTATAGCATAATGTACTGCAGAACCTTTCTCCCATTACCTTAGTCCAGATTTGGTGTGGCCCTGCATACGGAGGATTGGGTTCCAGAATCTGCCCCTCGGCCTTTGCCAGTGGATCAATACTGGGCCGATCCTCTTGGAATATTCCCAGTTTCTTATCAATGGTGATCTGCCAGGCTGCAGCCATTTCACACAGGAACTGAGGAACAAGGGCAAAGTGATATGATTACAATACATTTCTTATACCCGCAAAATTATTTCTCTAAAGGATGTGGCAAAAAGAATTAAAGATGGGTTATTGCATGTTTTAGGTATATGTACTCTGCATCGGGAAGATTTCGCTACAATTTAATTTTTGCCTCTTTCACGCTCCAAAATGAAGGTGAGTTTATAATTACAGCAAACATTTATCAACAACATAATATACACAGTAAATAGACATGAGGAGCGAACTTAACATTGGGCGAAAACGGATTTTACCACCGAAGCGCAAACATTTCCCGCTATACAGTATCTTCGAGCACTAACTTAAAATAATGTTTTTTAACCAGAAATTTATTTGAATATGGATAGAATAATTTTTTGAAGCAATATCAGCATGTATGATACAAATCTACTCCTATATTGACAGGCTGTAAGTTGACCAGCAGTATACATGGTTTCTTTGTATAGTATATGACAGATCTACTTTCAAATCTAGGGTTCTCGGCTTTAACCTTGCCTTGATTTTTAAAGTCTAAATGTATTTCCACAATCAAACTTTTATTTTAATTTAAAGGGAATAAAAATATTTATTAACAATTTTTCTTTTTTATCATTTACAGAAAAAATTCAGATAAATGATACCTGTTGAGGTATGTATTCTAACAACACACCTTAGTAATTCTTACATTCTTACCAAAACCTACTTTGGCTAATGTTCTAAACGTTCTGGTACTATATGTTCTACGTAAAAACAAACAAGAGGCCCATGGGCCTTAATGGTCACCTGAGTCCTACAGTATTTATTTTTGTTGTTGAAATATGTACCAATTTGAGTAAAAAGTAGTTTAAGTATAACGTTAACTTAAGTTTGTCAGGACCATGAGCTGATCAATCCTAGACCGTGTTTCAGTTAAAACGGCCTATTAGAACTTGATTTTAAGTTTGAATTATTATTTTATTCAAAATGGTGGCCATGGTGGCCATATTGGATTTTTAATCGGCCCGGAAAAAATAGAATACTTTACCAGGACCATGAGTCGATCATTCCTACAGAGTTTCAATTAAATCAGCCCAGTATAATTCGACTTTAAGTTTGAAATAGTTTTTCAAAATGGCGGCCGTGGTGGTCAAATTGGATTTCCTATGGACCCGATAAATAACAACACTTTGTCAGGACCATGAGTAGATCATTCCCACCAAGTTTCAGTTAAATCGGCCCAGTAGAACTTGACTTTAAGTTTGAAATAGTTTTTCAAAATGGCGGCCATGGTGGCCATATTGGATTTCTGATCGACCCGAAAAATAACAACACTTGGTCAGGGAGATGTCAGTTACATTCCTATGAAGTATCAATAAAATCCCTTTGCCAGTATTTTAGCTTAAATTGAAAATGCAAAATGTTAACGGACGATGCTCGACAACGGACAAAGGCGGATAGCAATAGGTCACTTGAGCTTAAGCTCAGTTGACCTAAAAAGACCTTTCATTTTAACTGTTCATATGAGCTCCACATATTCTTTTGGGCCTGATCACTTCAATGTAACTCAGCTCCTGCCCCCATTCACAGGCAGGGGAAGCTGTAGCACATCGCTTCACAACCCAACTGCTTCCTGGCATCCCGTGAAATAGATCAACTTTTGGCACAGCTCTGTGACGCTGCTGGCTCCACAAGAATTACGACATACGCCACAGGCGCTTTCACACAGCTCATACACAGCCCTATAGTATATAGACTGTCCATACTATTTGCCATACATGGAATTATTAACAATGCATGCAAGTTTTCGGTCGGGCCTACACCATCTTCGTCGAGACTTAAAAATTCCAGGTTAGGTTATGTGCAGTGTGTGTGAGTACCATTATGTTACCAAACATTGTTGTATCTGTTGTTGTTGTTGTTTCATAAACATATAGTTACCTCTATGCTAAAGTCTGGGCGAGCTGCCAACATCCACTCCCAACATGAGACGGTACACTCCATGATCCTGTCGGTGAATTTCTGTATCGGGGCCCAGCACAAAGCATGTACCAAGCGACGGTTGAAATCTGCAATGTAGTAAATTTTATTAAATTTTATTTCAGAACAAGAAACTTCCAAGTTACCACTAAATATCACATATCAGTTATTATGCATAGCAACATTCTACAACTGCTTATTGCAGAAACAACTTTACCAGAATTTCAAAGCCTATAAAGCCTGTTAAAAATGAACAAGTTTTCCTAAAATAAAAGTCAAGTTTGTTTTGAACACAAACAGTAGTTGAAAACTTATTTTGTTCACTTTTAAAAAGATCTGTTTCCTCTGTCAAGCAAAAAGTGTAAACTTAGTATTTAGTGTTCATCCAATCAGTTAATGAATCTCATTCGGAAGTTTTCCTGAAAACTTTAACAATTACACCGAGGCAACTCATAGGTGAACAGAAAATCAATCATATGCCATATTTGTCCGTTTACAATAGGATTGTCAACCCTTTGTAGGTGGGTTAAGTGTTGGAATCATTATTAAACTTTTCAGTTCGTATAACAATCTGTCAACAGTTGTAGGAATGCTTTTGCAGGGAATCATTACTGATGATTCTTCACTACAATTGTCAGTTTTCTGAGATTGTACGAAAACGTTACCGATGGTTCTTCACTTTAATTGTCAGTTTTATGAGTTTTTAGGGCAATATTATTGATGGTTCTTCACTTTAATTATCAGCTCGGAGTTTTTAGGGCAATGTTATTGATGGTTCTTCACTTTAATTGTCAGTTTTATGAGTTTTAAGGGCAATATTACTGATGGTTCTTCACTTTAATTATCAGTTCTATGACTTTTTAGGGCAATATTATTGATGGTTCTTCACTTTATATGCCAGTTTTAAGTTGCACTTGATCATGAGCTTAAACAACTGTAAGCTTGCACCAGGAAGTATAGGTTAATTACCGTCTACGATTTCATCCTTAGCGGTGAAGTCTTACCTTTCACTGACACTAACAGGGCACACACTCTAAACATGGCTTGCTTGCATTTGTTTTCATCTGAAGAAAAAAAGGAAGAATTTATAACATTTGAGATTTTCTATTAATTCAGGAAATTTTCATTCAAGTGGGGTTTCATGTGTTTTCCACATTTCACAAGAACTCCAAAATATTACATTTCTTTCAAAGTATTTACAACAAAAATCCATGTGTCCTATGCATACTGGTACCACCCCTGTCCGTATTTTATTAATTGGAAAATGAGGTACATTGTATTAACATTTCAAAAGTTTGTCTTAAAATCTGTTTAAGAAGCTATAGATATAAGCTTGCTGATGCAGTCTGGCCTTTTCCATTTCACAGTGAAATCTCATGCGCATTAATTGGTTCAATGATTAATTACACTGAGCAACAAATGACATTTTATAAATTTGGCTTTTCTGTTTATATATGTATAGATTCCACATGAACATTTGTAGATATCACAGCTGACATTTACCGCCGCTTTGGAGAGCTATCTTCAGTTTGTCACAAAGCATCTTGGTCAGTTCAGATTCATCACAAACCGATTTCATCCCAGAAACCTGAAATAGAGGCGAGATTACAGAGATTTCTAGTTTGTATTTGAAATTAAAAAGTTTACTCTTTCCAAATTTTCAAAACGTTATTTTTTCAATTTTAATGCTTACTGAATTTTATTTCTATATTTTATAGTATATTTTTCTATTCTAAAACAATTTCCTATGGCAAGGAATATGAAAATTTAATGAAGTTTAAGTATATACATTATGTTTTTATTTAGTTTTTGTTGATGTTTGGTAATATTTTATAGAATTTCAAAACATGTATTTTGTATGTTATTTTCAAACTGGTGATATTTCTTCTCTTCCTATATACAAGAATTAATGTGTCTGACATTTCAATTTGAAACAATTTGTTTAACTCTAAAAGTTTAACAATTTTTTTTATATTTTTTTCTGCACACTTACCTCCCCTGTGTAACGGCTACGGAGGCTGAATGTGGCCATGAAGCTGGAGCTGTCTGTAGTCACACAGTTTGGACGACGATCCAGAGTCGCTGTCTGTAAATACACATTATATAGAATGTTAATCAAACTTAAATTCTCAAGTAGATATGAAGCCAGTTTCGATCAATTTTGTTTTTTTCCAAGATTTTTATTCCCCGTACCAACTGAGATCAACATAGTCTTTCAATCTTGTGGGGTTGTGATGGAGGAGCAAAGTAACTTACAATTAAAGAATCTTCCTCCAAAGGGGTGATTCCCCAATCTCATCCAAAAAGGAAGGAATATTTCTGTTTTCCTCCTCTGTCATATATGCTATGATGATATTTCGTCAACGCTTTGTTAACATGACATCAAACAATTGTCTTGACTTATTTTGAACCCATCCCAATTCAACACTACAGCCAGACAAAAATTATCATCTCACACAGAGAATTGTGTATACATCAGTCAAGGGTAGGAGAAAAACTTTATCCTACTTTGGCACATCTGGTGACCTCTAGTTTGGGAACTACATTTTGACATGAATCATGAGTGCATAAAAACAATTTTTTCATTTCCAAAATTTCAAACATTCAGTACCTTGTCAGCAAACATTCTGAAATATGACACAAGGTCTGGTTTACAAAGGTTTCTGTATTATTCAGGACTAAGATTAACACAGGTTGCCTTATTCCGTCTTTGCGTATTGCAGAGTTATCTTATCTTGTGAGCAGGTATTGATTGTTACGTCATTTGTTTGTGAGAGTAACGTCATCAATTTTTGAGAAAACGACGTAATTTTCTCACACAAACCAATGACGTAACAATCAATACCTGTTCACAAGAGAAGATAACTCTGCAATACGCAAAGACGGAATATATCTACATATAACAAATTGATTAGTAATTTGATTGGCTTGTGATTTCAAAGTCTGATCTTAAAAAAAATGCCACTGAAGACCATGCTCCGTTCTTTATCTTTCATTTGATTAAATATTTCATCCAAAGCTGGAAACAGTAAGTACATCAAGAACTTGTCTGATATTTACCCCCAAGGGAGCAGCAGACTTGTTGTAGCCCGCGTAGTTGAGGACACTCTCCGTCGCTAGTGCCAGTCCGCTATGTGTTAGTAAACCCTGGGACGTGTTCTCCATCCTCAGTAGATACTCAATCATGTGTGAGCGTGTCGTGTTGGGTGCCCATTTCATCGACTCCTGCAGGATGGACTGACAGCGCAGGGCGAAATCCTTGACCAGTGTCTGTAAGTGTGAAAATAATGATACAGCCCTCGTAACTAACGGCACACTCATACAATGTTAGAGACTCTGTAGAATCATCTGGTATTGCTGAGAATGCGTGAAACTGACTTTTCCGATTACTTTAGATATTAGTAACAGTCATTAAGCTTTGCTGGTGTTGACAGATCAACATCAATGAACTAGGTCATATTATGTATATCGTAAATTTACAAGTAGAAAAACATTTTCTCTTTTTGAATTGAATCGGCTATTTTAGGAGAGAAGATGTTGGATTAGTCATGTATAAAATGTTCAATGAAGTTTCAATAAAAAGGGGAAATTGCAAGGTGCTTCCTGAAAATGATATCAACCATCTAGGTAAGATTTATTTGCTGATGAAGGTGACCGAGGACACACTGCCAGTTACCAAAATGTAACACATATAAACATTTCGCTGGTAGTCCTATATGTGCTAATATACGTTTATCGTGTAGCCAATTTGACGTGTAGATCAGGGCCTGTATCATAAAACCATTTTCATGCTCAAGCATTGGTTTTGTGCTAAAACCAACTTTCTTATAACTTGCTTAAATTACAGGAATTACAGTCAAAATGTCAAGTGTTAATATATTGAAAATAGTGTCGGTCTTTAATACTCTCCGAATGTTTCCAATATCACTGACGAATGTGATTTTAATTATTAATTTATTACAGTAAAAGGAAATTTGGTCTGAGCACAGAAACTGAGTTTGAGCATGGGAATGGTTTCATGAATATGATCATCTTGTACATAAACACATAAACCTTTCACTGGTTGTGTTATATGAATCTATAAATAACATTATATTTACCAGCCTGAAGAAAAACATTTTAAGACAAGAGTTAGCTCACCTCCCTGTCTGTCAGGTTGTCTGGGACTCTCAGGTGGAAGGGCGAGTTGGGCACCTGGAATTCTGGGGCATCCTGGTTAGGGTCCTGTAAAAATATCAAGGTGACATCGTTTCATTGAAGCACACTATTTAATATGTTAAGAAACTCACTCAAACACTAAAGTTTGTATAATTCAGAATGTTCACTTGTCTCCACATATGTCTACCAACAATTGTCCTATTCAGTAAAATGTTAACTCTTTCAACCCTGAAATTTTATGATGAACTATTCCAACCTGTGAATTGGAAGAGTTCAAAACTGTATTTAGGGGTGAATGAGTTAACCCTGATCTATAGTTTATTTACAATGCTAGTTTATCAAAGTCTCTTGAGATTCTTTGTGTAAATTTATATATTTCACTGATGTTTCACGGCTGAATTACTAAACCGAGCACATATTCATTTCCAAAAAACGTACCATCTCCAGTGCCTTTGACAGGAGCTGTAATACATCCAACATACTTTTCAGCATAGTACCGCTCCAGAACAGGTGAGGAAACCTAAAAACAGACAAGCAAGCATCATATTACCAGATATTGTACTACTGGGTTCTCGACGATCTTTAGTATGAAGACAAGTGATACCAAACACCTTCAAGATACATAATTACCAACGAAAAACTCGTAAAAAAAACAACAGATAAATCCATTAACAAAATGACAACGCAGCCAGTCAGGGACATCAGTTCCACAAAAGGGTGTTTCAGATAGACCGAATACACACTTTGACTCATGTTCTGACTTGTTTAAGGATCACTGAGAACCATGCAGCACCTATTATTTAACATATTTTATTGCCAATTTTAATTAGCAATGGGACTGGGCATAAGTTGAACAACTGATATGAAGCCCTTTCCCTACATTTTTCTGGTATTGATAATTATGGTACCTACCTATCGATGAGGCCAGCCAGGTACTTGTCGGCTACCCTCCTGATCCGACGATGGATGTGGTTAAATTTGACCATGAGGAACTGGGCGTGATGTTCGAGCTCCTCCCCTCTGGCTACTGTCTTGGGCTGAGGAGGATAGATATATAGATCAACAGATATAGATGCTGCATAATGTTTGGAATCGAAGTTAGAATAGGCAGCCTCAAAAACTGTCCAAAAAAGCTATTCTAGGAAAATTCTGGTTGGATGAGTTTTAAGGAAACCTATAAATGATATAAAATTGACGTCATAGTATCAAACGGTAATAGGTGACATGACCTAAAAAAAATCAATTTCAAATTTTAAAAAGGAATACCATCGTCCATCTGCTGACATAATGTCAATTTATTGCTAAAAAAACACTCTTTTTTTTTAAACAAAGAAAGTGATTGTATAGGTCACTTTCTTTTTTATTATACTTTTTGATGATAAAATGAAATGACCTCAACGACAAATGTTGAAACTGAAAGGTTTTTAAGTCACTTATAGCCTTTTTACATCGGATTTCTTTTACATGTTCATAACAAACAACAAAATATAAATTCAAAGATAAGTTTATTTCAATACCACAGCACAGCCAGACCGCTGTATACTGTATACCAGGACATTTTCGCTGCAGTTTAATTTTTGCCTTTATCAACCTACATAATGAGTGCAAATTTAAAATTACAGCGAACGTTTGTATACACAACATAATATGCACAGTAATTAAATGTGAAGGGCGAATTGAATATTGGGAGAAAATTGATTTTATCGCTGAAAGGCGAAAATTTCGGCATATAACAGGTATATAGTATTACCATACATTAGTTAAAAAAAATATTAACATACCCGTTCTTCCAGGGTGTCCAGTAGTTTGTCAAACACCTTGTCTGATACGGCCACAATACACTGCCACATACCTAAAGGAAAACGTGTATCGTAATTATACCAAGTATCGGGGGCACAACTTTATTATACAATCACACACCTAAAGGAAAGGGTGTGTAATTCATATTTTCTCATACAACTTTAATTCACTGCCACATTCCTGAAGGAAAACAAAGAACTATGAACACAATTTGATCAGCGTCATTTTGAGGCTTCTTTTCCCCGCCTCAAATAACATGAGACAACCATAAGAAGCAAACATTTTGGTGACGTTAGGCTGTTCCAGTAATCTTGTTTGCACTGACGACACAGGCACTTTCGTATTGAAAATATACGGGATTATCTCTATTTAGGTCAATAATAACTGAAAATGTAGAGAAAAAATAAGTGAAAATGTAGAAATGCATGAAATTGAAAAAAAAATCCTGTATGTAATTACAATGAAACAGATTCTACAAGTCATCAAAGGAGTTGGTAAATATTGTCATTTTTACCTGCTTTGTCCTTGAAGATAGTGTTATCTTCTAGGTACTTAAATATTCCATGGAATGCTGATAGGTAATCTGAGTTCTGTACTCTGGAAAATACAGACAAAGCATGCAATCATTAACTCATTCATTCCCGAAATTGTATTATGAACTATTCCAGCCTTTGAATTGGAAGAGTTCAAAGGTGTCTTCAGGGGTTCTTTCACCCCTGAAATTTTATAATGAACCATTCTAACCTTTGAGTTGGAAGAGTTCAAAGGTGTCTTCAGGGGTTCTTTCACCCCTGAAATTTTATAATGAACCATTCTAACTTTTGAGTATGAAGAGTTCAAATGTGTCTTCAGGGGTGAATGAGTAAATGAAGTTTATTAAGAATGCACAGCATGTTCATATATAACAGCTGAATAATTGTATCCTTGAACTGTGAAAATATTGCTTTACTCTGACAAGTCTACTCGACAAAAGTATCTTCTTTAAATAATAACTTGAACTCAAAGTAGTCAATAACCCTTTCACCACTGTAGACCATAATGGACTCATCCAGAGCAATGCATAGTAGAGTCTACCTAAGTTACATAGGGGTGAAAAGGTTAACTAGACCTTCGGGAAATGAGTCTCTATTTGTCCAGTTAACTAGACTATTGGGAACGGAGTCACAACAATCTTGTTTAGTCTGCAAGAAAATAGTGCAAGGAGTTGTGTCACAAAAATCCTGTCTATTCTTCTTGACTACAGGGAAGAAGTTCAATAATACTTTGTCCAGTATTTCGACCATGGTAAGGAGAGACAAAATGAAATCTGAATCAAAAATGATTATAGCAGGGTTAATATTGGTGAGAATAATACTTGGCTGTCCCCAGTCAACAGTATAGGTCGGAGGAAAGAAACATTGCAGTCGGAGAGACTGTCGTTTGCTAAATCAGCTCACCTGAGTGTCTCAAGTTTGAAGACTGACATGAGGTAGGTACATTGTGCGAACGAGAGTTTCTGTATGAGGGGGTAAGCATCGGGATTGTTGTCCAAGGAATTACAGATACTTGTTCTTATCTCGTTTAACTCCGCCTACAACACAAACATATATTTTATCTAATTAGATTTGATCAAATCAAAATGGCAAGGGTTTGATTCCCCCTTCAAGCGTGAAATGTATTGCATCATCTGCCCCACCACAAGGTTTTCTTCGGGTACTCCGGTTTCCTCCAACATTAAGATGTGCTTAAGCTTATATTCAAGCCAACAATAGTTATTTATATATCAAGTTTATTCTGTCAATGAAATATATTAAGACTTACCGGTGCAACTGTGTCATTCCTGAGAGCGACGTTGTACTGGAGCTCCGAGCGGAGATGTTCCTTGGAGATGAGGAGTGGAGACTTGGCTGCTATTTCACATACACCCTCGTACCACTCCGGGGGCCACAGGGCTGTAATGAATATTCATAACAAATTGTAATTGTAACCATGACCATTGCAGAACTCCCCCAAACTGTCCCTGTAGTCACAAATGACGCTTTATAAAGAACTTGCATTGCCATAATACTCCAGCTTACATACTAAGTTGGATAAATCATGAAGGACCGTTGGCATAACCTTGGCATACACTAAGATCATGCCAATCAATTGTAGGCTACAGTTGCCATGTTTGATGACTGATTGGAAAATGAAAGGATCTTTCCAATTCTGTGAAGGTATAAATTTAATACTATAAAAGTCCAAATCAGGGGCACAAATAGAACATGCACCAGTAATTTTGCCCTCATTTATAAATGAACATATAAATATATATATATTTTTATTTTTTTTCAAAATGGCTGCCAGCAATATCATAGACCATAATTGAAGCCAGCTTTATATAACAACAAACGATGCAGACAGTGCACTCCAGGCGATCCACCTTATTGGAAGATGTCTACTTCTAGCCTTCGTAAGGGAGACTTGAGGACCTCCCCCCAGTCTTTCTGCAGTAAAACATGTTCAATCATGTGATCAGAAACAATTTTTAAATGAAGACGACAGCATATTGTGTCTTAAATTTCTCTCTCATCTCTGATTATAATTTAGTATGAAGTCTCTGAATAAAGTTGAGATGTACAGTACAAGCTATATGTTACCTGATTCCTCGACTACGAAACCAAACACAACACAGTACTGCCAGAAATCTCGGAACAACTTCTGGAGGCGAGGTTTGGGGTCGTGAATCACAGGCAGTCTTCTCACCAACTGTAGGAACGAACATTGCAGCATTAATATCATTAACATACTACTAGTGATTGAATGTAAAGGGTGAAATAATGGATTTTTTACCAGCTAAGGGCGAAAGTTTGACAGGGCGAAAACATCCCAGTATACAGTATCAAGAATAGACGCAGTATTACCCAGTTATGTCAAAACTGATGCAACAACATTTTATTTTACATAAGGTGTATATCTAAGTACAGTACCTGTATGCTGAATACACTGATCTCCTCTGCTTCATCTCACAGATTAGGTTTTTTTCCCCAAAACAATTTCAGGATACAGTCTTTCTTTGAAGAGGGAGATTTTTTTCTCTCGATAAATCCAGGTAATTTTTACTGACTGGATTTGAAATTTTCAAAATCTTGTTGGAAAATTTATTGATTCAGAAATACTTTGGGTAAGAGGATCCAAGGTAATTAGGTTAGAAAATCAATATTTTAGACCCGAAATGGCATGGACCAAGTCTGTACTTACCACAGCTATAACTGGAATCAACACCCCTAGGTTACCAGCACTGCTGGACGCCTACAAATTAGGACAAAATGATATCAGAGCAGCATAAGTTATGGATTAGTGTAATACATATATATATATACAAAATACTTCAAATGTCCAGCATAATGTATTGACAAAAATGGCTGATAACAAAAAATATTTTATTCATAATCATATGAATTAAATACGAAATATTTTCACAGATAAAAAAAATTCTGTACTCTTGAACTATTTTTATATCCATTTCTTGCTGTGGTACTGTGACTTGACTATATATAACTGCCACCAGTCAACTGATAAATAAAGGTGCTACAACTAACTCACCCTATGGAATATTGTACAACAATTATATCATATAGCCCAAACTTTGTTGTGTAGAACAACTCAAAAGTGTCAATTAAATTGAACTACCCAGTAATAATACAATGGGTATGAATTTCTGACAGCATCTTCACATATTTCATTTCAGGGAATTTGGTTTGACAAAACATGCCAAGTAACAATTTCCAAGGACTTCATTTCAACACAACATATAATGAGACACAAACGTGAACTTGGCTCAAAATGACACGAAAACATACACAAAACACCTGTTTATACTTAATGCTTTGTCTACAAAAGGACTATGTATGGTTTGGGCCTGTTTTGGCCCCCAAATGCATCAAAATTCAAAACCTTTAAATAAACTTTGAAATGACTGTTTCTTTTATTTTCAATACTTCCCAAACACTGTCATGAAAATATTTATTAATTGTTGCCATGGTAACAAGTTCAAATTTGCATAAATTAAAAAAAAAAGAATATTCAGTGAATTTTGTCATATTTTGTATAGTTTTTCTCCTGGAAACTGTAGAGTGCATGCTTGAACAAACTCAAATTCAAAGGATAATGTGTAGGCACCTGTAATACATCTTTAGGAGAAATATAAAGTTTGTTTAAGAGTGCACTCTATGGTAACTTAACCCTTTCACCACTGTAGACCATAATGGACTCATCTGTATCAATGCATGGTAGAGTCTACTAAAGTTACATAGGGGTGAAAGGGTTAAAGAGAAAAACTAGGCAAAAATCTGTCAAAATTTACTGAATTTTCAAATTTCATTAATTTATGCAAATATTAACTGGTAACCATGGCAGCCATAATTGAAAACCTAAATAAATGTTTACATAATATCACCAGGGAAGTATTCAAAATTAAAGAAACAGTCATTTAAAAGTTCTATTGAAGATTTTTAATTTTGATCGATTTGGGAGCCAAAAAAGTCCCAAACCATACATACATAGTCCTTTACATTGTAAGAATTACTGTATACCAGGAAATTTCCCCCCGCAGTTTACCCTTCGCCTTCTTCGCCCTCCCCAATGACGGTGAATTCATCATGACACCGAATTAAGTACACAACATACAATAAAGTAATTATAATTACATGTGAAGATCTAAATTAACACTTGACAAACTTGAATTTTATTGGAAGAGGGTGAATATTTGACTAGGCGAAAGTTTCCGTTATACAGTATTGCGATCTTATTCGTGTCAACAATCAATAAACGTGATGCTCGTTTTTATACCGAACTTGATACCTAACCCACGAAAAGTACAGTAATATTTCTGTTTGTTGCTTGAATCACACATGCAGTGATACTAATCATGATAAAATATATAATTATCTCCACTTTAAATATTTCCGTTTAACATGTAACATAATGATACAATGAAACCCATCTTGAATAAGACCACCTCAATATAGAGACCACCCGTCTATAATTACCACCAGGTGTACACCTTCAACGCTGTGGTGAATATACTGTAAAAATGGAAATTTTCATCTGTGGAAATGTTTGCATTTTTACCTTTTAAAACGATCACGGTGTGGACATTTATTCGCTTTGCAATAAGGATGGAATCTATATACTCAATTTATCTTTAATCTATAAATAAAATATTTGCATGTTGATATTTTCGCGTAAATTTACTCAACACAAAAAGACACGAAAATTTCTAGCTTTGCAGTAATCCTTCTCAACATTGTGCAGTGCAGAACTTCACACATACTCCTTCACCCGCTCTGTTTTCACATGAAACCCTGAAATGTACAGTCATAACAGTGTGTTTTCTTTAAAATCTAAGATCATCTACCTTGACCTAATTATATGGTGCAAAACACACCTTCACCCATATATATAATGGAAGAGCACAGAAAATGTTGGGACTCTCATGAACAAGAGGCCCAATGGGCCTGCATCGCTCACCTGGTATAAATCTCACACTTGTATAACCTTAAAAGTGATCTAAAATAAAGCTACAGGCAAAATATCAGAATTTATGATTAAAATTCATTCAAAAGACCCATTTTTGTTTTTTTAAACATTTCACCCCTGTGATTGAAAGTTGAACAAAGTCATTATGTTGAACAAATTTTAAAGCCTTTCATCTCAGGATGCAACTTGCAAAGTATCAACATCCTGGGACCCATTGTTATTCAGAAGAGGTCCAGTGCTCCAGATAGCTTGCGTGAATGCGTATTCACACACGATAATTCACAAATTACGCAAAAGAAAAAAATGAACTTGCTTAATTCACGCAAACAAAATCCGGAACATTGCGTCAGTCTCCGAGACCAATTTAGCAAATTATAATACGCTTACAAGTGAGTCACTGAGACGCTTGCATAGTACTCCTGTTACAAACGCTTATATGAGCGAGAATTGAATCATGGCGCTTTTAAAACAATCGCTATTTGTCACTTGGTCTCATCTCTTTCGCTGCGTAGTAAATTGTCCTAAATACAGAATTAGCACAGTCATCTGTTTTACTCTCAGTAACTTCAACATCGTCGATGTCTTCCATTAATGTTGTGACCCGTTTCACGAAGCGTGTTTCTTTTTTTAATTGAAGTTTCTTTTGTGATACTTTCGATAGCGGACAAGTGATACTCTGATTGTTCGTGTCGGGTAAGGGCACTTTTTTGAATATTCGAGCAGCCCTTTGTGAAAACGTTGTCCTTCTTGTGTTTGGAGCACGACGAACATTTCAAGTTCAACAAGGTTTGGCCATCCGTTTGACCAACAGTCTGGACCGTGACGTCAGCCACGGGAAATGGTTTTTCCATCCACACCCTATTATGATATTTTCCGACCCCATTTTAAATAGATATGTGTCATTTTATTTCCATTTCACTGTGATTGTGTTCACAGTGAAATGGAAATAAAATACCACATGTCTAGACAACACAAAAATATGAATTTGAGTCATTCTTAACCCTATATTAAAAGTTTAACACATACAAATGATTCAACGTCTTTCAACATTTTCAGGTAACGTTGCTTTTAAAGCACTTCATCTTTCAAAATTTAAGTTTTCACCCCTCCACTTTGGAGAGGAAGGGGTAAAAAACCC